TGGGGCAGTGAGACCTTGCAGGCACCCAGGGCAGTGGGGGAGCCCAGGGCAGGAGCTGCAGGGTTACCAGTGCTTTGTGCCCTCCACGCCACCTGATTGGTCACCTGCTCTAGGTGGTATGGGGAGGAGCCGCCTGACGGGAGGAGATCCCCCCCCCCATCAGTGAAGGGTGGTGAGAGCAGATACCACCCCCCAGTGAAAGAGAGAGGGCAGGGTCCCCTCCTGGGGTCCTCTTCGCCCATTTCCCTGTTAAAGCAGCACTTGATTTTTAAGCTCAGGACCCTGGGATATTTAATACTTCAATGTATATGTCTCTGTGGTTCTAAACTTAATACAATTGACAATGGAAAATGTGGAATTTCTATATAGAAAAACATAAAAGAGAAAACAAAATCCATACTCAGACCCTCACATGGGTAGGTTACACCATAGGAAATTGCTGGCTCTGGTAAGAAATAGTTTCATATGACTCAAACAAATATTAATATTTGCTATAATGGGCTGGGGATTTAGCTCAGTGGTTTCGCTGCCTGCTTCACAAGCTCAAGGACCGGGGTTCGATCCTTGATACCAAAAAAAACCCCCAAAACAAACATTTGCTATATTTCCTCAGTTGGTTTTCTGTGAATAAGGTGTACTTTGGAAAATGTGGAACCAGGCATGGTGCTGCACACCTCTAATCCCAGTACTCTGAGAGGCTGAGGCAGGAGGATTACAAGTTCAAGCCCAGCCTGGGCAACTTAGTGACCTAATGAGACACTGTCTCAAAATAAAAAAGTTAAAAAGGACTGATGATATAGCTCAGTGGAAAAGCCCTGGGTACAATCCCCAGTACTGAAAAGGAAGGAAAGAATGAAAGAAGCAAGGCTTTTCAGCTGTAGGTATATTTACTTCAATTTTCATGCTCCATTTCTCACCCTCACTGCCCAAAAACTCCAGTTATCCAGTTGAATGAACAGTAAAATAAAGTAGCTAATTAAAATAAAATTTTGTGTTGGGGTTGGAGTTCATATGACAGTTGTAGCCAGGTGTGGTGGCACACACCCATAATCCCAGCTCTCTGGGTGTGTGAGTCAGGAGATGGTGAGTTTGAGCCCATCCTGGGCAGTGACTTAGTGAGACCCTGTTTCAAAATAAAATTTTAAAAAATAGGCTGGGGTTGTGGTCAGTGTAAAGACCCTAGGTTGAATCCCCAGTCCTGAAGAAGAAAATGACAAAGTCAAGTCCTATGTCAATCTACTTATTTTATTTCATTATTGATGTGTGTGTGTGTGTGTGTGTGTGTGTGTGTGTGTTGCTAGGGATCTAACCCAGGACCTTACTCATGTATGCTAGGCAAGTGCCCTACCACTGAGCTACATCCTGCCCCTGATCTATTTAAGTGATGTATCAGAAGCAGTAACTTGTGAAGTTTAGAAATCCCAAACATTTCTTTCTCTAGCCTGCATCCCTTTCTCCTTCTCTTCCTTGACTACCTTTCTTCTCCTTGAACTCCCAGGCCTGAGGTTAGAAGTGCTGAGAGTGTCCTGGTGGTCGGGGGAGAGGGTTTCTCAGAGGAGGGAGGTGCTGGTCAGCAGGTCATCCAAGACCCTCTGCGCTGGAGGTGCAAGGGAAAGTTCTGCCCTCTTCACAGCAAACCAGAAAGAGGCAAGCAGCCCAGGAGCCCATGGCTGGCCCAGCAGAGGGTGACTGATTGGCCCCTGAGGCAGGACCTTTGTGGGGCGCCACTGGCCAGCCACCAGCAGCACAAGCACGGGAAGCTTGTGGCATCCCACAAAGGGGGAAGGTGTGTGTGGGTGCTGCACACATGCTCCGGTTACTCAGGTGGCTGCCACTAGAGGGCGCCCACGCGCAGTGGTGAAGCCCACTACCAGGCCGGGGTGGGAAGCACAGAGGGTCTTTGCCGCTATAGAGACTCCTGCCAGTTACCCTCTATCCCCTTAGTTTTTTCTCATTTTTCCAGTGCTGGGACGGAACCCTGGGCATCCCAAATGCTAGTGAAGTACTCTGTCACTGAGCCATAACCAGCCACTCAGTTTTGGGGGTTTTTTAAAAATATTTTTTTGTTATTTAGAGAATACTTTATTAGCTTCTGTAATCAAACCCATAGAGCTGAGACCGTATGTACTGAATACAGCGCGTTACCCCTGTACGAGTGGAACCGAATGAACTTTAATGTTTCTGTACAGTGCCAGCTCAACACAGTAAACTAGGATACTTTCTCCAAAGTTGACTGCATAGCACAAGTTTCCTATATATACACACACAAACATACCTGGTAGCAGTGTGTTATGCATCAATAGTAGCAACAGCTTTTCCAAGTTCTTCAGTCGTCTGAACAAAATAGTAAACACATCCTCATATTCCATTTTTTTAAAAAAGTGAGCGTGGTGGTGCACCCTTGTAATTACAGCACTAGGAAGGCTGAGCCAGGAGAATCACCAAGAGTTTGAGGCCAGCCTGGGCTATATAATGAGTTCAAGGCCAGCCTAAACTACATAGTGAGACTCTGTGTCTAGAAATAAATAAATTTATTTGCTTTAAAAAAGAAAAAAACAAAACCCTAGAAATCAGCAAAGTTATCCAGATGTGGTAGCATATGCCTGTCATCCCAGCACTCTGGGAGGCTGAGGCAAAAGGACGGCAAATTCAAGTCCAGCCTGGGCAACTTAGTGACTTAGTGAGACCCTGTCTCAGAATGAGAAAGAGGGTGGGAGATATAGCTCAAAGTGAGACCCTGAGTTCAACCCCCAGTAATGATGAAATTAAAACATGTTCATCGGATAGATCACCATAGCACAGTGCTGAGAGGGAAGCTGGGCCTCCTGTCCGGGCTCCAGACCCCCAAGGTGACCTTGTCACTGCTCACAGCTGTCCCATCCCACACCTTTGTTCACACAACTTGCTCCTCCTCTGAGCATATCCGGACCTCATCCCACCTCCTGTCCATCCAGCTCTTCCACATTGCCCCCACCAGGCCTTGGTCTTGTGGCTATTGATCTGGGAAGTTTCTGGCTTGGGTTGTTAGGAAGGTTGCCTGGCCTAGACACAAAGTGAAACCTTGTCTCAAAAAAAAAGGAAGAAGGTGGCTGTGTCCATTGTCCTTTTTTTTTTTTTTTCCTGCCTCAGCCTCCTGAGTGCTGGGATTATAGGCGTGCATCACCACACCAGCCCCTGTGTCATTGTACTTTTGTGATAGTTGTATCTGTGTAGGATAAATTCCTAGAAATAGAATTTCCAAGTCCTGAGCATGGTGGCAGACACCTGTAATCATAGGACTCTGAGAGACTGAGGCAGGAAGACCGATGGCAAGTTCAAGCCCAGCCTGCCTGTGCAACTTAGCGACTTAGAGCCTGGCTCAAAGTAAAAAATAGTTTAAAAGGTAGAGGGCTGGGCCGGGGATTTAGCTCAGTGGTTCCACTGCCTGCCTTGCAAGTGCAAGGACCCGAGTTCAATCCCCAGTACCAAAAATAAAATAAAAGGTAGAGGGCTGGAGTTGTAGCTCAGTGCAAAGGCCTCAGGTTCAATTCCACACACACGTACACACAAGAATTTCTAACGCCAAGGTTCTGGGCTCTGATTTTTGAGACATCCTACACCACTGGCCTCCTGACCTGTGCCTTTAATGCCCTCCTCCGAACACTGGGCATCACCAGAAGGGTTTTTAGGGTGTGCCAGCCCAGAAGGTGCAAAGCCGCCTTTTGTTTCTTGTTCTGTTTGGTGACCAGTCTCCCTGGTCTCTGAGGAACCTCCCGACCCAAGGCCTGGTACACAGCACTGGCCCACTGTTCAGCTGGTACATAGAGGCTGGTCAGAAAACAATCAAACACACAAAGTGTGTGTTTAAATTTTAAAATATATTACAGTAAAAAAGACTACTGCTGATCCCCCTCAGAATGTTCCCTCTTGCTTCAAACCCACTTATCCCATGGTTCTTGCCACTTTCTGAAGCAGCTCTGGAAGTCATCTTTTGTGAGGGTCCTACAAGATGAGATTTTTTTGTTAGAACTTTCTTTTTTTTTTTGGTACCGGGGATCGAACTCGGGTCCTTGAGCTTGAGCAGCAGGCGGCAAAACCACTGAGCTAAATCCCCAGCCCTCGAGGTGAGATTTTTAAAAATACAGTGAATACTGCTGCTCAGTGCCATCTGTAGAAAGGCAGCTCATGAACACATCCTGCTGTGTCCTCATCCACCTCATTCACCACACCAGCCACTGTGTGACTTCTGGCTCTTTCTCAGAGTCAAAATGACCATGAAAGGGAAACGTGTTGAATCATCTCAGGACATGGAGGCAGCCACAACAGCACAACTAAAGACACTCGGGAAAGAGGACTTCCGGAAGTGCTTCAGAAAGTGGCAAGAATGATGGGATTAAGTGTGTTCAAAGGGAGATTCGTGGCAGTGTCTTTTACTCTTAAGACATTGTTTAAAAACATGTAAACATAGGGCCGGGGATTTAGCTCAGTGGTTCCACCACCTGCCCCGCAAGTGCAAGGACCCGAGTTCGACCCCCGGTTCCAAAAAAAATGTAAACATGCACTGTATTTTGTGGTCACATTTTGCAAATGCTCCAGGCCCAGAGCTCCTGCGCCCTTGCAGTGTTGGTCTGTCCCCTCCCCAGAAGCCCTTGGGACCAGCACCAGCAGAACCTTGTCATTTGCAACTTTTTTAAACACATGGTCCTTAGAGAAATGCCTTTAAAAATACTTTGAGGGCCAGGGATTTAGCTCAGTGGTTTTGCTCCCTGCTGCGCAAGTGCAGGACCAGAGTTCAATCTCCGGTACCAAAAAAATAAATAAATAAACAAATAAATAAAAATACTTTGAGTCTTCCTTTGCATAAAAGCAGTATCTGTTTTCAGTAGGAACAACAGAAAATACAGAAAAATGAAAAAGCCACCTGTGACTCCACCCCAGGGACCCATGACCCTAAACGTGTTGCCATTTGGTGGTGGGGTCATCTGTCTGGCCCCCCTGTTAATTGTGCACTGTTGCCTCAGGGAAGTCACACCTGGCCATCGTGCAGAAGGTGAACAATGAGGGCGAGGGCGACCCCTTCTATGAGGTGCTGGGCCTGGTCACCCTGGAGGACGTCATCGAGGAGATCATCAAGTGTGAGATCCTGGATGAGTCGGACATGTACAGTGAGTTCTGCCCTCTCCACGGCCCTGGACCCCTTCCCAGCTCCTGTCGGAAGTCAGTGTCCTTAGGTGGAAAGGCTGGGTGCAGGGGCACAGAGGAGGGGGAGGAGGCCACTCACCCCATCACACCTTGGCAGAGCTGGGAGCTGTTGTCAGGGGACAGTGTCCTCAGGTCCAGTCCTTGTTCTTGCAGCTGACAACCGGAGCCGGAAACGGGTGTCCGAGAAGAACAAGCGCGACTTCTCTGCCTTCAAAGATGCTGACAATGAACTCAAAGTCAAAATCTCACCCCAGCTCCTCCTGGCTGCTCACCGCTTTCTGTCCACGGGTAAGAGGTGGAGGAGGACCTCCCATTGCTGGCGAGAGGTGTCCAGGAGAAGAAGGCTGGGCCTCTGGGTCCTTCCCCCTGGGGAGAGGGACCAGACACCTCTCTCTCTGGGCTCCCCTAGCTATTTGCTTGCTGTTAAGGGCTGCTGGTGTGAATGTCTGAGGGCAGATATGTTAGTTTTGAAAATAATTGCTGGGAAACTGGATGTGGTGGCACAGTCCTGTAATTCCAGCACTCGGGAGGCTGAGGCAGAAGGATCACCACAAGTTCGAGGCCAGCCTGGGTTACATAGTGAATTCAATACCAGCCTGGACTGCATAGTGAGACTGTCTCAAAAATCAGAAAGAAAGACAGGCAGACGAACAGACAGACAGACGGGCACTGGGTACACCTGCGGGGCTCCTGAGTACCCCAAGCCCATCCCTGATGTGGACAAGTAAGGAGAAGGGGCTTGCATGGCACAGCATGCACCTGTCCCACTCACTGGCCTGCAGAGCCCAAGTGCCCTTTTTATGTGTCCTCCGTCTCACAGGAATGAATTTCTGGATCAAAGACACTTCTCTCTTCTCACCCCAATCCCAAGCTCCCCCAGAGAAAAACCAGGGTGACATTTTAGAAAAACACCTGCTGAGCCCCCAGGCATGGTGGCGAATTATCTGTAATCCTAGCCCTCAGGAGGCTGACGCAGGAGGATCATTTCGAGTTTGAGGCCAGCCTGGGCTACATAGTGAGTTCAAGACCAGCCTGGAATACATAGCAAGACCCTGTCTCAAAAAAGGAAAAGGGGGCTGGGGATTTAGCTCAGTGGTTTCGCCTCCTGCTGCGCAAGTGCAAGGATCCGAGTTCGATCCCCGGTACCAAAAAAAACAGAAAGGAAAAGAAAGGGGAAGGGGAAGGAAAAGAAAGGGGAAGGGGAAGGAAAGGGGAGGGAAGGGGAGGGAAGGGGAGGGAAGGGAAGGGGAGGGAAGGGAAGGGAAACCCCTGTCTACACCCTCTTTTTCCCCAGGCCTGTGTCCTTCCTAGCCCTCACCTGCTGCAAGTGCAGTGCTGTCTGTTATCGTCCTGCTGAGGCATTGATGTTGATGAGGGTGCTGAGGCTGTGATTATAGGACATCTGCAAGCACATTCCACATGCCGAGAACACGTCCTGCTGTAACCTCTCACAGACCTTGTGAAGTTCCCATCTATTTCACAGATGAGGGCCTGAGGCGAGTCCAGCCACATGCTGGAGTCATAGGCTGTACAGACTCACAGCAGTACAGAGCCACTCCAAACCCAGGCAGGCGCAGACCCGGGTCCCAGCAGTCAGAGCCGCCCTGGCAGGGAGGCACCCTCCACAGGAACCGCTTGCCTGGCCAAGGCAACCACCTGGGCCCTGAGTGTCTTCCCCTCTCCCTCCTGCAGAGGTACCCCAGTTCAGCCCCTCACTGATGTCGGAGAAGATCCTGCTGCGGCTGCTCAAGTACCCTGACGTCATTCAGGAGCTGAAGTTCGATGAGCACAACAAGCACTGTGCCCACCACTACCTGTACACGCGGAACAAGCCAGCCGACTACTTTGTGCTCATCCTGCAGGTGCGCGCCGCCCGCCCGGCCTCCCTGTCGCCCCAGTGTCACCCAGCCATGACCCTGCCATGTTCTTTCAGGGCAAGGTGGAGGTGGAGGCAGGGAAGGAGAACATGAAGTTTGAGACGGGTGCCTTCTCCTACTACGGGACCATGGCCTTGTCCTCAGTCCCCTCCGGTGAGTCCCCTGCCCTGGGCCCAGGTGGGCAATCGGGTGTCCGGGAGGGAGGCGGCTGGCAGCAGAGTGGTCAGACCTAGAGGAGTGGGAAGGGGACTGTGAGCTGAGCGTGGGCAGCGGAGGCTGTGCCCTGAGGTGGCAAGGACCTGCTTCAGGGAAGGTTGTACCACTGAGGGGCACTGGCATCTGGCTGTCACAAGAAGTAAGATGCAGGCAGCAGCCCCTGGTGAGATTAGGATGAACCAGCAGAGCTGGTCCATCCCGGGCCCCACTGCTACAGCACAGGGACGGAGCAGGAGGGCGGTGGGGACCGCAGCCAGCCTGCCTGGGTGCGTGGCAGGGGACTGGGCTCTACCAAGGCCTGTTATAAGGGCCCAGAGAAGGGCGGCTTGGTGCCCTCTGCCTCTGCAGTCCTGGTGGTTCAGGTGGCACCCAGCCAGCTGGGTGCCTTCTGTGAACTACCAACCTGGGAGGGGAACAGCGCCCCCTTTGGTGCTTGCCTGGGGTGGGGGGAATGTTGACCACAGGTCATGGGGTTTCCCTGTGCTCCATCTGTCACTGTCCCTTGACCCAAAGGGCCCCATGAGGACCACCAGGGCACCATGAGCTTCCATGCTGCACCTCTCCATGAGGATAAGCCTGGTGTTGCAGGTGCCTGGGGTGGGGTCAGATGTGGCTCCCCAGGGAACTCGGGGATATGTGAATATTGCCCAGATGCCTCTGACCAGGGAAGACTTGCCCGCCCCACCTGAGGGCACCCCATCCGTTTGGCTGGGGAATCTGGTTTGAAAGGGTTTTGGGGGAAGGATGTCCCCCAGCACTGCCTCAGAGGCCTGCTTGGGCCCTGGGCTCTGTCCCTGTACCCCTGGCCCTCAGATGCCCCTTGCAGGGGTGGTGGGGAGGGGCGGTGACTGCCCCCCCCCACCCTGCTCGAGGTGGCTATGTCCTTACCCTGTGGCCCAGTCCTGCCTCCCATCCCGCCCAGGCTCTGACCTCCTCCCCTTCTACTCCAGCACCTTCCACCCTGGTTGGGTGTCCGCCTGGCAAGCGGAACTCCCTGCTGTCCTGGCTCGCAGGTAACAGGCATGCTGGGGAAGTTGACACTGCCATCTGCCACATGAGCCACACACTGCAGCCTGATTAACCTTGCCCCACAAACTTGGGGCTCTCACTGGGCATGCTTGGGGGCTGGCATGATTGGTACGTCTGCTTGGCCCACGGCTCAGTTTTGGGGTGCGTGGCCACATTCTGGAAGGGCTTACCCAGAGGCCCTTCAGTCTTGGAGAAGGTGTGGACATGCACACTCCCCATGGACAGATAGATACCCAGAGGATGGGAGGGGAGTGCAGGTGAGGGAAACCAGATCATCAGAACTGCTGGCCCAGCCACCCGCCAGCCCTGGCATGTGGATGACATCGCATCAGTGCCCTAAACCCTTCCTGCCGGTTCCCACTGTGGCTGGGGTCGGTCTGTCCCTTCGAGGTGGGGAGGGCAGATGGAGGCACAGCCACAGAGGCAGAGCCACAGAGCCACTTGACTCCTCCTGTCTTGGCCTCCTCACCTGGAGTCAACACTGGACCCGAGTCAGAGTGCTGTAGGGAACAATAAGTGACAGAACTGGGGTTGCAGGTGTGCTTAGAGCTCAACTCTTTCATTCCTTTTTTTTTTTTTTCCGGTGTGGTTTGAGACAGGGTCTCTATGTAGTTCAGGCCGACCTTGAACTCATTATGTAGCTCAGACTGGGCTTGAACTTTTGGCAATCCTCTTGCCTCAGCCTGTTAAAAACCTTTTTATTCAGGTCTGGGGATTTAGCTCAGTGATTCAGCTGCCTGCCTCTCAAGCGCAAGGACCTGAGTTCGTTTCCTGGTACCAAAAAGAAACTTTTTATGCAAAAACATTTTTCTGTCTTTAAGATTATGCCCTTGCCAGGCACGTTGGTGCATACCTATAATCCTAGCACTCGGGAAGTTGGGGCAGGAAGATCACCCTGAGTTTTCGACCAGCCTAAACTACACAGTAAGACCCTGTCTCAGAAAACCAGAAAAAGCCAGTTGTGGTGGTACAAGCCTATAATCCCAGCATGTGAGAGGCTGAGGCAGGAGGACTGGTATAAACTGCAGGCCAGCCTGGACTACATAGTGAGATCCTGTCTTACCCCTACCAAAGAACCCCCCCCAAACCCCCAAAATAACACAACAACAAAACCCACATAAACTAGAAAAAAGAGAAAAAAAAATACCCTATGGATATTTTCAGAAATAAGATTACCAACTAAAAGAACCCTATATTTTGTTATATTTATAGCTTTGTTTTAATCATAAAAGTAACAGATTATTTGGAAAACAGAAGAGTCTTGAGAAAATTAAAAAGCACCACAATTTCATTGTTCAGAAACAGTATTTTGCTGTCTGTCTCTCTAGAGCCTCTGTTTTAAATTCAGCTCCGTAGGGTCCGGAGTGTTGATTTTGTTGCCCGGCACTTTCTCTGTGTGGGTGAAGCCCTAGGTTCAGTCCCTAGTGCTGCAAAAACAAAACAAGTAAATAAGTAAATTCATTTCTTGTTCCTAGAGTGTAAGCATTAACTACAAGCATCCCATCCTTTAGGTAATTCGTGTGAAATGCTAAGTGGTACCCCTAATGTTTGTGGGGTCTTTTTCCTTCTAGAACTGAGAGGAACAACTAAGTTGGCTGCTTTCCAAACCCTTCTAGTGATCTTCGATTTCCTGTTGGGGTGTGACCACGGTCCTAGAACAGCCAGACTATGTTTTCCAAGTTTTATAAATGAAAGGAAAAGTGTTGCTCAGGCTCGATATAGGGTATTACTCAATTTGGCCTCCTGTGGTGAAAAGTCTGGAGGTTATTGAGTTGCTGGGTTCAGTACATTTGCTGTCTCCACTGAGTTATGTTAGAATAGCTAACTTAGTAGTTAGTAACTTCCGTAGTTAATTAATTAAAGCAAATCAGCTGGATGTACTTCCTGTTGGTTTAAACAAGCCTGCATGGCCTCACAATTAACTTCTTTGTGCACCTCATTGTTCTGCTTCTCAAAACTCAGAGCTGTGGTGTTCAATCCCTGAGCATTTTTTCTCTTGCTCCTCTGAACTTGAGTCACCACCCTGTCGTGGTCCATGATCTGGAGGCCCACTGTTGCTGATGGCCAGGAGAGGCTGTGCCAGCCCCAGCCCTGGGGTGCTGTGAGAGGACCCCGATGCCCCTCCAGCAGATCACACAGGGGAGACTGAATTCCCCACCCTTAAGGACATCCTGTGAGGCCATCGGGGGTGTGACAGGTGTATGGGTGTTCACAGGGAGACAGTGCAAACTGCACACTCTTCCTTTTTCAGTGGTTTGTTTTTTTTAAAATGTACGTTTTGTGTCCCATGAGACCGGGATAGTGGCTTGTCTGTCATGTGAAAATAATCACACTGTCACCATGACTGATGAATCCTTGGGGTTAAATGAGGAGTTTTATAGCCAGCAGCTGTCCATGTCTTTGGTTAACTTTCTGGTTGTCTGGTTGGTTTTGGTGGCTGTTTTAATCCTTGTTGCACAACACTGAGACATGCTTGTCGTCAGCCCTGAGGAGGTGAGACCTTGCAGGTAGAGCTTCTGTGTGCTTCTCTGTCCCTGAGAACCATGTCCTGCTCCTGGGAGGGGTGCCACATGCAGGACTGAGGTCAAGCAGGAGCCTGGCAGGGGCACTTGGGGCTCTAGCCTGAAGGACTCTGCTATCCCCACAGACCGCTCTCCGGCCCACCCGACCCCACTCAGCCGCTCAGCCTCCCTCAGCTACCCAGATCACAGCAAGGACACATCCCCTACCACTGTGCTGACGGGCAGCAGTAACCAGCTGACCGCCTGTGTACTGGGCCAGTACGTCTCCGACTTCAGCGTCCGGGCCCTCACAGACCTGCAGTACATCAAGGTGAGCTGCCTCGGCCTCCCTCAGGCCTGCTTACCCCTCGCTCTTTTTTTTTTTTTTTTTTTTTTTTTTTTTAAGACAGTGTCTTGCTGTGTAGTCCAGGCTCAAGTGGAACTCCCAGCAATCCTCCTGCCTCAGCCTCCCGAGTGCTGGGATTACAGGTGTGCCTGGCTTACCTCACTCTTGCTAAGGTTTCTGGAGACCCCAGCGGTTACACTGCACCACAGGCCAGGTGTAGGGGTCCCCACACACTCACCATTGCCGCCCCCCACACAGGTCACTCGGCAGCAGTACCAGAACGGGCTTCTAGCCTCCCGCATGGAGAACAGCCCTCAGTTTCCCCTGGATGGCTGCACCACATGCGTGGAGAACTCCTCTGAGAAGCCCGAGCTGCCTGTGGTGGATGAGACTACAACTCTTCTCAATGAGCGTAACTCCTTGCTACACAGAGCCTCCCCAGAGAATGCCATCTGACAGGAGGGCCCGGGGTCCCCCGCCACCCCGCGGGGGCCTCCCAGTGGGCCCACACAAAGAGGGAGCCTGTCAGGCTAGAAGGGGTGCGGCTAGATGGCCTGTGACTGGACACCCAACAGCCCCCACGGGACCTCCGGGCAGCTCTGAGGGCAGCTCCCCAGCCCCAGACCAGCGTGGCCATGGGGCAGCTCCATGAGCAAAGGCTGTTTTTCAGAGACAATTTCTAAACTAGGCGCATTGCTTCTCTTTTTAAATATCATTTTGGGAAGGGAAGACAGGGTTAAGGAACTTTATGTAAAATAATTTTTTTTTCCAAAAGAAACTCCAGAAGGGGGAGCATTCCTTGCCCCAGGAATCCATAGCCATAATTGGCTCCCAGCCGCACCCTGCAATCCCGTCCCTGCCTGTGGAGCTCAACCCTCTCCTGTGGCAGGGCCTAGCACCCAGCGGATGGGGAAGGCTGGCTCTGGGGCAGCCAGGGACCAAAGGCATCACCGAGACCTGGGTAGCTGTGACCAGGGTCCAGGAACCGTCTAGACCCAGGAAGCTTCCGGAATTTGTGCGTCGACCTCCTGGGGAGTCCCCGCCCGTTGTCCCTCTGGAAGCTCCCCCTTGTGCCAGGGCTAACTCAGGGAGTCAGGCAGGATCTCTGGTTACCTTCTCCCCATGTCCTGCCCTCACTGTACCAAAAGCATCCCCCTCCGTGGGGAGCGTGTCTGGGTGAGAGGCGACCTGTCTGGGGTTCGCCTTTTGATTTCTGGGCTGAACTTCATCATACTTGGTATCTGCTTATTAACACCTACTGCTGCTCCCTTCACCCACACCCACAAGTAGAGTCAAGGCTCAGTGGAGCTACCAGAGCCTGCTTTCAGACTCCCTTGTCCTTATCCCCAAGCCCCAGTCCCTCTTGAGGGCAGGGGACAAGAGGACATGTTAGAAGCCACCTAACCCCATTCTTCATGTCCTTCAGTGGCTACCAGAGGCTCAACCTACTCACGGAGCCCAGGAAAGGAGGGTTCCACCCAAAGACATGTGACCCCAGGGAGAAGCCAGTGGAAACTGTACCCTACCCCACCTGTGTGGATGCTGCAGGGCACCAGGCTTCCACTGTGGGAGGACTGGGGTGCACACCCAGGAGAGGGAGATTCTTTGGGCTTCTGCCTGAGTGGCATGTCTCCACTCCTTTCCTCAGCCGGTGGAATCCTGTCACCCCAAGGGCTCTGCTCCTCAGTTGACAGACAACCCTAATTCCTGGGACAGGGAATGCTGTGCCCCAAAGCGCACCTGCCCCTGGCCAGACCAAGGCCTTCCCCATTTGAGAGCCTGGAGAGAAGGGTATGGCACCTGTGGGTCCTCAAGCATCAGGGAGAGATGCCAGTACAGAGACCACTTAGGAAGCCTTTAGTTTTCCACAAGAACAGCTTCCTCCTGGATCCCACAGAAGCTGTCAGGTCTGTGATCCTGAGAGTCCTGAGTGCAGGTGGAAACCACGCTGGCCCAAGCCTCACTGGCGTGGGAGGAAAGGAGCAGGTGCACACACTCCCACAGCTACCTCTTTGCACACACATTCACCACCAACAGATGGTCCCTTGCCCTCCCTCCCCCACTTATAATCACTTCTTCCAGAGGCTTATGATTATTTCCAAATATTACTGGTCCGATGACTTCCTCCTCCCAGTACCATTGTTCATTTGTTGTTCCAACCTTGGGTTCCTGGGCTGAGCCATACCCGGAACTGGCCCGCTGCTCGTGTCTTCCTGGCTAAGGGGGACCTTCGTAAATGGCATCCAAATGGGTAGGCAAGTCATAGCCACCATAGCAAATGACTCCTATTTATTTTGCATAAGATTTTAATTTGTATATTTTTGTGATTTATTTTGGCATTGTTATGAGTTTGACTCTCGGGGAGTTTTCTTGTTATGACTCTTGTGTCTTTTGTCACAAAACAATGATAATATTTGCTAAACAATACATGGAATTTATTTTTGATTGGTAATAAAAAATATGTATAAATCTCGGTGAGTGCAGGTTCTGTGTTTGAGTTCCATCCATATTCACTGTGGTAGAGATAGATGTGACTGTGGCGGGCTGTCACTTTGTGACGGGACAAAGGGTAATGAAATATTCTGAGACCATTTAGCAGTGAAATGCAGGCAGAACTGCAATTTACAAAACATATATAATCAAGATTGTTATTGCAGGAGTTGGAAAGTAGTGGCCACTAGCAGACAGCACATGTGTTTTCCTGCCACTGGCAGACTCCTAGAAACTGGATGTTGTAAGCTTTGGCCAGCAGAGACCAGCACAAACAGTCCCCTTTCCTCTTTGGGGCCTAGGGGTGAACAGATTGGATGAAGCAGTCAGATCCTATTGCTTGGCAACACACAGTTGCCTCTTGGCCATACCCCAGCATTGTGTGGTTTCCTACCTGGCCTCTTCTCTATACACTTACTGCTGGATACTAAAATACAGACCGGTGTATTTTCTGTTGTCCCAGCACTAGAATCTCAGCATGGACTTTATCTCATTCCCAGCATAGTCCCCACACTAGAACAGCACCAGGCACATTGGAGGCAGTCAACGCAGGAAATACCTGTTGCAGTACTGGGTGCTGAGCTATGGGAGAGCACATAGTTCCCATAACCTTGATCTAGTCTAGGATGGCTAAGGAAGATCACCTGGAGGAAGGAGCGCTTCGGGATAAGCAGAGGTGGGCTAGTGAGATTACACCCAATAGCTCAAAAATAAATACTTAAACAGAGCACATAGATGCACACCCATAATTCCAGTACTGAGGAAGCTGAGGTAGGAGGACCATTGAGAGTTTGAGGCCAGCCTGGGGTACATTGTGAGTTAAAGGCCATCTTGGAATACATTGCGAGACCCTGACTCCAGAAACAGAAATGACAAAAAGAGACTTGTCAAAGGTGAGAGAATCCATGTGTCTGAATCCATAGTCTCTTCTTCCTGTCCTCTGGGACTGTTCTTTGCTGGCATGTGACTTTTCAGGCACATGCTCATTTTGTGCACATCATCCCTTTGGTGTCAGCCACCGTTTTATCTTGACTGGGAGACATAGAGGCAAGGACCAGAGGGGCGGAGTCCGTAAAAGAGTTAAACAATTTTTCCCTCCCAGGCCCAATCTAGTGGAGAGGCCCAAGGATATCTATTGATTCTGCTGGTCCTTTATTGTCATTTTCCAGAGGGAGGCAGCATCCAGATAAAATTTGAAGAGCATGGAGGTGCAGTTGACCTGGTCTATGCCTGAGTTTATAAGGTTGAAGAGATGTGATTATCACTTTTGAAAGAGTTTTTCACAAGATATTTTTCCCTTTGGTCATTTGTTGTGGGGTTACTCATTTTTGCACATTGTCTTCCACGAGTTTTACTTGTGGGCACAGTGGACTTATTTTTTTTTTTTCCAGTACTGGGGATTGAACCCAGGCCTTCACACTAAGCTATATCCTCAGCCCTTTAGAAAAAATTTGCTTGGGAAGTGCGGTGGTGATGGGGTGGTGGGGGTGGTGTGGGTGGTGTGTGACAAGGTCTCTAGTCCAGGCTAACCTCGAACTGGTGGCCTCAGTCTCCCAAGTACTGGATTACAGGCATGCACCACCAGGCCCAGCAGAAGTGTTTTTGTTTTTAAGAATGAGTCTTCCTACAGTGCCACGCTGGGCTCAAACTTGTGATCTTTCTGCCTCTGCCTCCCAGGGTGCTGGGATTAAATGTCCTCTTGAATCACATGTATATATGAAGTCTTAAAGTCAACTTGCTCTAGAAGTTTGAAAAATATTAAAAATGTAGAGAAAAAAAACGTAGAGAAAAATACAAAAGCCATGTAATCCGGACACCTTTGGAAAAGCCTTGTTAGCAGCTGGCCTATTTCCTTCTAATCACAGGTCACACTCCACAGTAAGGAACACCCCATACTGTTTTCTAAATAACCAAGGTGAGGACCCTCCTGAATAGCTCTGGTTGGTCCTGAGGAATCCTCTTCCGAGGAGCGAGTTACCGCATCCAGAAACCCTGCCCGCTGCCTTGTGTGGCTAGGTGGTGACCTGGTCGCGGCGAACCCAGCACCCACGCGGAGTGCACTCCTCTCCCGGAAGGTATTAATCACACGAAGCAAAGCCAGGATCCAGCACGCTATTCGTGCCTTGCGCGTGTGCTGGGGAGTCCGTGTTAGGACCCCAGTTCCTCGATGGCAGGAGCTGGATCTCGACGTCCCCAGACCTAAACCTTAGCTCTGGGACTCCCAGTCACTCGCGGGGTCTAATTGGCCCCCCTTGGTTCTGCAGGTAAGTGGGCAAAAACCTCTCCAGCTCCCGCGGCCTTTTCCCACGAACCCAGCACCCTTCCAATACCCCTCCACTCAGTGCGCCACTTCGGGGACGCGCAACCTCAGCCTTCCAGAGCCGCGGCCGACCCAACAGACAGCCTCACGCCCCCGCCCCGCCCCGCCCCGCCCCGCCCCGCCCCGCGCCGCTTGTTTACTCCTCGGCGCAGCCTAGTTAGACCCTAGGCCCGCCCCCTCTGCTGCCTATTGGTCGAGCGAGCGCGAAGGCCAACAACGATTGGTCGAGAAGGCGGCGGCGCGGGCGAACGGGGTAGGTTGCGCGGGAGACCGAAGGGGCAGCAGGCGATGGCGGCGGCTGGTCGCTTGGGCTGGGTGCTCGCCGCACTTTGCCTGAGCAACGCCGCGGGGGAGGCGGCGCCGGGCCCGCGAGTGCTGGGCTTGTGTCTGGAGGACGGAGTGGAGGGCGCGGGGTGGTCCGCGCCGGAGGCCACCTTCTGCCTGCGCCTCTTCGGCTCGGGCTTCGCCAACAGCTCCTGGACTTGGGTGGCCCCCGAAGGCGCAGGGTGCCCCGAGGGCGGGCGGGCCGCGCCCGCGGGCGAGTGGCATGCACAGCTGTGCTTGCGCGCCCAGGCTGTGCCTCCGGACCCCGCGGTGCCACCGGTGAGCGTGGATCCGGGCGGCGCGGCGGAGGAGGAGGCGGCGCCGCCCTGGGCGCTGGGCCTGGGGGCGGCCGGGCTACTGGCTCTCGCGGCGCTGGCGCGGGGCCTGCAGCTGAGCGCGCTAGCTCTGACGCCGGCCGAGGTGCAGGTGCTGCGCGAGAGCGGCTCGGAGGCGGAGCGCTCGGCGGCGCGGCGCCTGGAGCCCGCTCGGCGCTGGGCTGGCTGCGCCCTGGGCGCGCTGCTACTCCTGGCTAGCCTGGCGCAGGCGGCGCTCGCTGTGCTGCTGTACCGCGCGGCGGGACAGCGCGCCGTGACCGCAGTGCTGGGCTGCGCAGGGCTCGTGTTCCTGGTGGGCGAGGTGCTGCCGGCCGCCGTGAGCGGGCGCTGGGCGCTGGCGCTGGCGCCGCGCGCGCTCAGCCTCAGCCGCCTGGCCGTGCTGCTCACGCTTCCTGTGGCGCTGCCCGTGGGACAGCTGCTGGAACTGGCGAGGCGGCCGGGGCGGCTTCGCGAGCGCGTGCTGGAGCTGGCTCGCGGTGGCGGTGACCCATACGGTGACCTGAGTAAGGGTGTGCTGCGCTATCGAACGGTGGAGGACGTGCTCACGCCGCTAGAGGACTGCTTCATGCTGGACGGCAGCGCAGTGCTGGACTTCGGGGTGCTGGCCAGCATCATGCAGAGCGGCTACACTCGCATCCCAGTGTACGAGGAGGAGCGCTCCAACATCGTGGACATGCTCTACCTTAAGGACTTGGCCTTCGTGGACCCGGAGGACTGCACGCCGCTCAGCACCATCACTCGCTTCTACAATCACCCACTCCATTTCGTCTTCAACGACACCAAGCTGGACGCTGTCCTGGAGGAGTTCAAGCGAGGTAACAGCGGGGCGGACGCCTGTCCAGTGCTCTCCCCTGAAGAGGCGAGGGAGAAGGAACCCTCGAGGAAAAGGGCGGTGAGACCTCCTTTCCCTAAGGTGATGATGGCCTTGCACTTGGGAACGACGTTTTGAAATATTCCCGGCGGTTAGACAGTGCCATAGAAAGAAATACCTTCCCCCTATTCGGGGGAGGAACTTCCACTTGCCGCCCCCCTCCCCCAGCCTTCCTTCTCCCAGCCCACTTCTGATCACCTGGGCCTCATGGATAGAAACTAGAAGGGGATGGAAAAGTAGTCTTAGGATAGCAGGTCACCATTGCCTGCACACATTTGTTAGCAAATTAGTCAGACTTGCAGTCCCTGACTGGTCGTTGTCTTCCAGATTGCAGGAAAGGGAGTGACTCATAAAGAGAGAAAACTTTCACTTTAATTTCGCCAGAAACAACTTTACGGGTGCCAGTTTAATCTCCCTTTTCCTTACTTTATTTTCTTTTTAATCCCCTCAGTAAGGTCTCCCAGGTTCACCCTTAACTCTGCAAGTTTGCCTGGTCCTTTTGCCCTGCTTTGTCTGAAGCTGCTCTTTCTGGTCCTGGCAAACCTGGAAGGCCCTCTAGGGTTGAGGCATGGGTTCCTCAAAGTCGTTCTCCTTGTGAGCGTGTCCCCTGCCTGCAGACTCCTGGACCCACAGCCTGCTGTAGGGGCCCCCTAGGGCTAGAGGTGGATTGACCCCAACAGCTGCAGGACTGGAGGAGAATTGGAAAGTTTGCTGGTTCCAGTCCACATGGAGGTGCCCTGTGAGCCCCTGGACAGAGCAGGAAAGCTTTCTGGTCTTGTCCACACTTCTGTTGAGTGCAGCCCTGAGCCCTGCCTCATCTCTTACACTATGTACCCTGGGGTGGCTCAGGTCAGGCAGGACCGGTCTGTTAGAGATATCTCAGGTGTGCCTGGGCTCCTCTCCAGAATGTGGCCCTGTTGCCCCTCTATGGGGAGGGAGCCTCCTAGTAAGTGTGCCATCTGGGCACGGTACCCCTTGTGGTGAGTCAGCATTGTGGCCCTTGAATCACCTGGTGGATTCCATCCCGCCCCTGCCTCCTCTGGGCTTCTAGACCCTGGGACAGCTGCACAGCCCCTCTTGCTTAAGACCCTCAGCTTCTACTGTTGGAGGTGACCCAGGAGCTGGAGAAAGATCTGGGGAAGGAGAGTGGGAAGGAAGCAGGGGTTGTGATGCTGGCTAGCAGAATGGTCTTCGCCCAGGGAGGCGCTGTGGTAGATGGTGTCTGCTTGCACATGGAGTGACCTGGAAGTTCAGGTTCCATTTCTTCCTTCTCAGAGGAGTAATGTGGAGACCATTGTAGTCCCTTTGGTGCTCTGAGCTTGCCTATCTCTAGGTTCCTTAAGAAAACATTCATTCTGGGGCTGGGGATTTAGCTCAGTGGTTCCGGTGCCTGCCTGGCAAGCACAAGGTCCTGAGTTCGATTGATCCTCGGTATCAAAAAAAAAAAAGAAAGAAAAGAAAACATTCATTCTGCTGTCTGGCTTCGGCAGGACTCTTTCGTTCTTTGCATTCTCACTGCAGGAGATTCAAGGCGGTAGTGGTGGAAGTGGTAGTGGTGGTAGTGCCCCTGTCTGGGACTGGGCTTCAGGAGTTGGTCAGGATGTGATGTCTAATGTGTGGGTAGCGCAGCACCATCCAAGTTGTTTCTGCGACCAGTGCTTGGTGTGGACAGAGTGGTGAGGGGCCCAGCTGAGAGGTGACAAGAGCTGGCCAGGGCACACAGTGGCCTGGGGAGGAGACCTAGGGGACATCAGTAGGTGGAATAGGGAAGATTTGCTGGTTGGCTGAGGAGCTGTGGTACCAGAGGGAGGAGCTGAGGACGGAGGCCCAGATTTCTGCCTTCCCTGAGGGCCAGGACAGGCAGTATATTTTCTTAAACTGGATTTTAAACAGGACACTGCAGTGTCCTAGTAGGCAGGAATGCAAGCCCCCAGAGCCCTGGAAGTGGAGCATTCTGATCCCCCACTCCGCCCCCAGCACAAGTGTGAAGGGTACAGCTGGGAGCCTGGGAGGAGCTGCAGGAGGACGCAGGACCACAGAAGAAGGGGACAGAGAGAGGATCGGATGCCCTGGAAGCTAGGAAGCTGTCACAGCTCTCTTTCTGCAGCCTGTAGCAGATCTCTGCATTTTCCTTATGTGAGTCCTGTTTTGTTTTGTTCGGTTTGGTTTGATTCTTTTTTTTGTACCGGGGATCGAACTCCGTCCCTTGTGCCTGTGCAGCAGGCGGCGAAACCACTGAGCTAAATCCCCGGCCCTGGTTTGATTTTTTGAGACAGGGTCTCACTATGCAGTTCGTGCTAACCTTGAACTCACTGTGTAGCCCAGGCTGGCCTCAAACTGGCAGCAATCTTCCTGCCTTAGCTTCTTGAGTCCTGGGATTACAGGAGTGCACCACCACGCCTGGGTTGTGTGAGTCCTGTTTGTCTTGTCCCTTTAATATGGTACATTCCTTATGACCAAATTGCTTGTTGCAATCTTGGCGCAGGACTCTTTTAAATCAGTCCCCTCCCCATCTCCTTACCAAGCCTCTGAGGTCATGGTGCCCATGATATTCCTGGAGCTGGAGTCCCAGGCATCTTGGCCACTGGGTTCGGGGCCCTGCTCCTTTTGTAAGCTAGGAAGAGGTGCCCCTCAGCACAGATGCAGGATGATGCAGCAGTTATTTTGTGTACAGGTCAGGAGGAAGAGTGCTTCAGAGATCTAATGAGTGATTTGTATTTTCTGTAAAGCCATCGACCCAACTCCTCTTAGAGTCTCCCAGAGAGACTCTAAGCAAAGAGAGATTAGGGAGGGGAGCTTTGCACAGTGTGCTTTCAACCCACTGAGTTCTAGCTCACTGTCTTATCAGAGGCCAGGTGATGCCTTGCTGCTGAGGAGAGCCAGAGCTGCTCAGACCTCAGAGAAGCACTGCCTGGGACGTCCGCACTCGTGCCACAGCAGGTGACAAAACAGGCCAGGCATACAGCTCTGCGAAGAGCGCTTAACTACCTATCATGCATGAGGCCCTGGGTTCCCTCTGCAGCACTGAGAAAAAGAAAAGCAAAAATGACAGAGAAGGCAGAAGAAACTAAACTCTACATTTTTATTTTATTTATTTATTTTAGTACCAGTGATTGAACTTGGGACCGTGCATTTGTGAGGCAGACAGTGGAACCACTGAACTAAATCCCCAGCTATTTAAAAAAATTTTTTTTAACTCTACTTTTTAAAAGATAACATGAAGTTGGACATGGTGTTACATGTCCAGTCTCAGCACTCTAGCAGGCTGAAGCAGGAGGATAGAAAATTTGAGCCCAGACTGGGCAGCTTAGCAACTTACAACTTGTCTCAAAATAAAAAAGGGCTGGCAAGGACCCGAGTTCGATCCCCGGTACCAAAAAAATAAAAAATTTAAAAATAAAAATAAAAAAGGGCTGGAGGGATTTAGTTCAGTGACACCTCACCTGCCTCGAGAGCACAAGGTCCTGAGTTTGATCTTGGTACTGGAAAAAAAAATGCTGGGGATGTAGCTCTGTGTGACAGCCCTGGGTTCAATCCCCAGTAGGACCATGAACAAGAAAAGGATACTTACCATAGAGATTGGGCATCATGAAAGGGTCCTCCTCAGCTATAACTGGAATACTCTGGTGAATGAGGGCTGCCCTGGGGGCAGTGCCCAAGCCTTTCCAGGGGTCCTGCTGGGTAAAATCCAAACTGGAGCTTTTCTGAGCTTTCTGGTTATGTCGCCAGGTCGTGCCTTCCACACCTGCCCCTGGCTTATGAAGCTGCCATGCCTGTCAGATGGATGGCAGACTTTAGTCCCTCCAGCCACCTTTCTCTCTGTCCCCTCCTGCCTTCTAGTCACCCTCTGGACCCCTCAGACACCAAGTATTGCGATTGTCACCTGGCTGCTCTTCAGGGGATCTCCTGGAGCCCTGCCTCCTGTTCCTCATCAGGCCATCCCTGTGTGGCAGCTCCCAGGAGACACATGTGCCTGTTGCACAGTAGTTTGAGATGAAGGAAGAAGTTAGTCCCTTCTGGTAGGTGGCCTGCCAAAGGGACAGTAGCCCGGGAGGGAGCCAAGGCGAGGCCTCTCAGAAGCCCCAGGGAGCCGAGGAGGCCATTCAGAAGCTAGGCTTTGGTGTCAGGAATCCAGACTGCAGACCAGAACTGCATGTCACACCCTTGGCCTTCCTGGGCTGGCCTAACAGGTTTGGGTTCTTTGACAGAGCACCAGGATGGTCTCCAGGGAGTTGGGAGGATCTAGGGACACCTCACCCAGTGACCCTGCACCACAGGTCTGAGCAGAGCTCTCCAGGGACCCTCACCCTTTTCCACCTGCAAGGGAGAGGTGACTTAATATGCTTGTTTCCACGTTTAATTTTTGTCCAAGACTATTCAAGCACCCTGAAGAATGTTGCTTTCACAAAATCCACAGTGTGAAATAATGATTTGTGCAAAAACAAGAACTTGATTTTTTCCTTTCCCAAAAGATTCTTAGAGCAGAGGGCACTCACGTGCAAGTCTGGTGGGCCAGCTTCACCCTCGCTTTGTCACTGGGACAGGAGGGTTTGTCTCCGTGCCCAGTCCAGCAGCCTCTCTGCCTCCACTGTGGCTGGGGAGCACTTGATGGGGTACTTGTCTGAGTTGGGGTATGCAGTAAGTGGCAAGCACACCCCAGAGTTTAGAGGCTTGGTACAAAAAGAGAGTGAAATGCTTATCTCAATTTCTATATGATTACTTGAAATGAGATCTGGACTATATTGGGTTACTTAGAATATGTTGCTGAACTTAATTTCATCTGTTCCTCTTGATTTTTTTTTTAATATAGCTGCTTAAAGATTTTAAATTACAGACAGGCTTGCCGTCTGTTTTGTTCAGAGAAGTGTCCAGTGTTGTGGCTGAAAAGCACTTCCATTCTTAGTATAAACTACTGAAGTTTCCCCAGCACTGAGCCCTGGCCTCCGCTCCAGCTCACTTGTCCCACTGAAACCAGCTAGGAAGATGACATGAGAGAGACCCAGGAGCAAAGGGACAGTGCCAGGCTATGGCTCTTCTTCCTTGCATAGTTGGATCCCCATGGCCACTACCCACTTCCCCATCCCCTGGATGAGCCCCAGAAGGGCAGCCATAAGAATCTGGAAAGCCCCGCACAGCTTCAGGCTGGGACTGTCCCTGGAGCCTGTCTACGGCTCAGAGTCACGCAGACCCGAGTCACATCCCAGTCCCACCGCAGTCTGTGTGAAGACCTCATGTGGAGAGCCTGGTCTCTGAGGGCTCACTCAGCATGCTGCTGTCCAGTCCTAGGGAGATCCTAGTTCCCAGCACAAATGTTAGCCATTGTCCCTGTAACAGGCTTATCTCAGAGAGCTGGAAAAACAGGGCCCCCTGAAAGCTATAAGTGAGTGTCCCCTCCCCACAGGGAAGTCCCACCTGGCCATCGTGCAAAAGGTGAACAACGAGGGCGAGGGTGACCCCTTCTACGAGGTGCTGGGCCTGGTCACTCTGGAGGACGTCATCGAGGAGATCATCAAGTCCGAGATCCTGGACGAGTCTGAACACTACCGTGAGTGTGAATGGTGGCCTGGCTGCTGGGGTCATGCCGTCCCTGCAGGGGCTTATGGCTCTGTCAGCTGCCATACTGTTTTCACTCACTCAGGGTTCTATAATTCCTGGGCCTTTCCCCTGTGTTCTTTCCTGGGGCCTTCGCTGGCACAGGTTCTTTTGTGCCTTACCCAGGTGTTCTTTAAGGACCCACTCCTTGGCCCTCCTATAGCTCAGGGGTAGTGCACTTGCCTTGCAGGCACAGGCCCTGGCTTCCATTCCCAGCACATAAATATAAAAATGTCCTATACAGGGTGTCCCCAGTAGACAGTCCTGGCCCACCTTGAGTGTGGCTTCCTGCTCTCAGTGCTGTCTTGGGTGCTAAAGTGGCTGTGTAGCAAGAATGGCAGCCAGGCATTATGGAGGGAGCTGGGCCAAACATGTCCCTGGGGCCCTGGCAGTGTCCCCTCCAGACTCCCCACCCAGGCCTTGGGAGGGAGGGGTGGGCAGTAGGGTCCTTGTTTGGTTGTGTTTGGTTACTGATGCCCACACACCCTCCTCTTAGGAGACACCACGTTGAGGAAAAAGGCCGCTTCCCTGAGTGTCCCTCCCAAGCACAAGGAGGAGTTCTCCCTCTTCAAGGTGTCCGACGAGGAGTACAAAGTAAAAATTTCACCCCAGCTGCTCCTGGCCACCCAGCGATTCCTGTCTCGAGGTGAGGGTGAAGGCCAGTCCCTGGGTCAGGAGCCCAACCCAGGCATGTGTGGACTCTGCTTCCCGTTTCTATGAAAGGAACATGCTTCCTTGTGACCCTGTCATCATCTCAGTCACCTTAGTGGCAGCCTCAGTGGCCCTGACATGAGGGTGGAGGGAGTGCCCTACCTGGCTCTCATGCATGGAGGTGTGGCAGTGCTGGGGCCACCAAGGAGAGCCCACAAGGGCGACAAGAGCTGGGTTGGTGACTGAGGGTGTGCCAGCCCTGGAGACACTGTTCCTCTTTACCCCATGGGGCAGAGGTGGATGTGTTCAGCCCAGGGCGCATCTCCGAGAAGGTGCTGCTACACCTGCTGAAGCACCCAAGTGTCAACCAGGAGGTGAAGTTTGACGAGAACAACCGTCTGGCCGCACACCACTATCTGTACCAGCGCAGCAAGCCAGTGGACTACTTCATCCTCATCTTGCAGGTACTGGGCCAGAGTCCCAGGAGAGGTTGGGATGGCCCTGAAGAACTGGGCTGGGGGTCTCTCCTTGGGTTCTTCTCTGACAGGAAAGATGACTTCTGCTTGTTTTTCCCTCCCCACCTCCTCCCAGGGCAGGGTTGAGGTGGAGATCGGGAAGGAGGGCCTGAAGTTTGAGAATGGGGCCTTCACCTACTATGGCGTTTCTGCCCTGATGGCACCATCCTCCGGTAAGCCCACCCTGCAGTGCCACTCTGCCCGTCCTCTGAGGCTCTGCTGTTGGCCTGTGTCCCCTCTGCTGGAGCACACGCCTCTCTTGTCTTTCTGCCCCTGTCTCTGAGACCCTTCCCCCATCCCCATGCAGCAGCAGTGGTGCTGTCCCCCTCGCCCACCAAGTCACTGGTTATTCCTTTCAATAGTTCATCATTCCCCAGTGTCCTCGTGCCAGCTGGCCTGCTACGACCTGCAGCCTGAGCCTGCCGACAGTACCCGCTCCTCCACATACTGTCCGGACTACACCGTGAGGGCCCTCTCAGACCTGCAGCTCGTGAAGGTGACCACCGGGCTCCTCACTGGTGCTGGCTTTAACTGGCTTTGTGTCCCTGGGGGGCCTAGACCAGCTGGCCACAAGGTTGTGCAGGTAGAACATAAACACTGAGGGTGTCTGAGGCTACAAGAGCAAGGCCTGCCCTGCCCTGGGTGCGCCCCCCCCATCACCCGCACTTGGTCTCCACAGTGACCTTAGAGAAAGCCTTGCACTCCTCTCTGCCCTCCTGCAGCTTAATGTCCCCCTGCCCCCTGTCTGGCCAGTTAGCATCCTGCCTGCTGGGTGACTTGCGTCTGTCCCCCAGGTCACACGGCTGCAGTACCTCAATGCACTCCTGGCTACCAGAGCCCAGAGCCTGCCACCATCCCCTGAGAATGCTGACCTCCAGGTCATTCCGGGAAGCCAGACCAGGCTACTCAGTGACAAGACGGCTGCAACAGCAGGTGAGCCACTCATGGGACATCATGAGCATTAGGACCCACAGGGCTATGCGCTCTGCCCCTCACATCACTTGCACATGGCATGCTCTGCCCTTGCCCTGCCCTGTACCTCCCTCTCTGTTTTTCTCCTCCTTCTGGTTTCCATCTTGCTGGTGGCACCAATTTCTGGACCGGTGGCCCTTCAAGCAGAGCGCATAAAGCCAGCACTTTCTCTGGAGTGCCCTAGAATGGGTTGGTTTTATTAGACAGCAGTTGGTCAGGATTTTTTTTTTTCTGGTACCAGAGATTGAACTCAGGACCTTGGGCTTGCAAGGCAGGCACATCACCACTGAGCTAAATCCCCGGCCCATAGACAGCAGTTGATAAGCGGTTCACACTGTTCCTGGGCACCGAGCATTAGGGTTGGGGTTGGAGAAGGAAGGGTTGGGTCACCCATGGGCCCTGCTCAGAAGGCAGGAACTGGCATGTGTGGCAGAGCCGGGCTGTCCTGTCAGGGGCGCCCATGTTGGACAGATTTTGCACAATGGACTGGGAACCAGCACTGCAGCGTGAGGGTGGGGTATGGAGTCGGGTGGTAAAGTTGGGGCTCAATGTTGTAGTTTCCAACTGACTGTAGTTTCTAGTCCTGGGGGACCAGTGGTGCCAGGGCTCTGGAGAGGCTGTGGGGCCCCACTCTGCCTGACATGAAGGGGACAAGCTCTTCCTGGGCACTTCCTCCATGGGTGCCACGCTCAGAGCCCTCTGTGTCCTCCCTTGGTGAGTGTCCCCACTGTCCGGAGGGCCTGGAGCACTTTTCTGGACACTGACTCTGGCACTCAGCCCACGCACAAGAGCCCAGATGTTTCTATGATAGAAAGATCCTTTCTGAATTGTGAGGTGACATGCATGTGCCAGTGACAGAGAGCCCTAACCCAGGGCACAGTGACAGACCCTCCGGCAAACCAGCTCTGGGGTCGCGTAGAGGGGACAGCAGGTGTAGCCGAGCTAAGTCTCTGGGTGTGGGATGGGGGTGGGGATGCCTCCTTCTCAAAGGGACACGTGTTCCTGGATGGGGCTGCAACTCTCAACAGTTGACAAAACTGTTCCCCCACTGTGGTGTTACTTTATGGAGTGTCCCGTACAGAAGTTCACCATCACACAGGGACTTGGGCCTCAAAAGCCAAGTCTTAGAAGGCAAGCCATTTGGGTGGGCTTCCTGTGCTGAAGAGCCTGCACAGCGATGCTCAGGGTCCAGACCTGCGTGAGGATGGGCGTTGTAAGCAGCAGCAGGGGACAGAACCAGGGTCTCACACATGCTAGGCAAGAGCTCTGCTACTGAGCCATGTTCCAGCCCCTTGAGATTTCTTTTTAAATTCTCTAGGCTTCAGCCATTCATTGGGCCAAAGAGAATCATTTATAGCAGTGTTCTGGGTCATTTCCTCTTTGTAACCTATTACCTGACACACTGCCAATGTAACATTGCTATTTCTACCCAAGAGCACCTGACATTCACCCCCAGTGAGGTTACCTGTAGCCTTCACTCCTTCCGTGAACTCCCTGGGGTTTGCCTGTGTCTGTCCCTGGCATGCATAGTGACTTAGTCTTGCAGATAAGACCTGTGGCCTGGAGACTTTGTCGCTAGATCCCTGACAGAGAAGGGCTTCGTCGAAGGGCTTCAAAGGCACAGGAATTTTCAACTGCTCACAGCAGGGTGGGGAAACTACCAGGCAAGGACCAGATCTAGCCAGCTGCCCATATCTGTAAATGAAGTTTCATGCGTACCTGCTCTTTGGTTTATGGATTGTCTGGTGGCTTCTGAAGGACAACAGTGGAGTTGCGTAGCTGTGAGTCAAGTGACCTGCAAAACCTTAAATTGGTACAAGTTTTCAGACCCCTGGCCTCTCAGCATATTCTGAAGCAGTCCTCCACTTTGCCCAGTCTCAAGGCTGCTGTCCAGGGGATAGTCCCTGGGTCCCAGGACATTGTCCTTCATGACTTCCCTCTGATGTGTGGTGCTGCCCACTTGGTAGTGCACGCAACAGCCTGTTGTCTCTTCTCTCTCTCTGCTCTCTTCAGCCTTCCCAGTAGAACTTTCCCTCTTTGGCACATTTGGAAACTGCAGTTGATAATTGACTGTGGACTAGTGCGCATTTTTTGTTTTAAGGAAACACCAAGGTAAATATCCCCCTTTCCTTCTGTCTTGGCTTGCTTCCTCTTGGTCGCTCACTGCCTAGGGTCCCCCTAGGGTCTCCCAACAGATCTGGCTGGGAGGCGTTTCTCCGGGTGGGGGCGGGGATGCCATGGCCCATTTTTCCAGAGGACAGGAGGGTTCAGAGGCACCTACTCAGCTTCAGCACACAGCTTTTCTCCAGCACAGGGCGCATGATCATCTAGGGCAGGTTCCACTCACAAAGGGCCCCCAGGGGTCCTGTCTTTCTTGGGTGGCATCTACCCTCAGTGGCTTCCTCTTGTGAGGACAAGTCAGGCTGACCTTGCTCCTCACCAGTCACTCCTGGCTCTGCTTGGACGTCTCCCTCAAATCCCAGGCCTGTTCCCCTGCCTGGCACTCTGGTCCTGCAGCTTCCACTCTGGGTCATGCCAGGCCTTGCCTCTTCATCAGCCTGGGCGTTCATTCTGCTTTCCCTCTCTCCTGCAGGGTCCAACCCCGGCAGGCCTGGCGTGCAGGTGGAGGAGAGCCCTGGGCGGAACCCAGGGGTTTAACTGCTTGTCAGGTGCTCGGAGCCAGAATGGACAAGCACATGGGTGCTGGAGGGAGCCGAGCAGAGCTTCGTGCCCCCTGTCCCCACCCCTCCAGGCCACGTTTTAGATGGTCCATGCAGATGTGGGGCCTGGGCCACCTCGGTGCAGGAGCCACAGCAGGAGGCTTGTAGGATGGGGTCGCCGGGCCCAGCTCTCCTGGCCATTCTGAAGGAACATGGGAACAGCATCATCTCGCATCCCCAGGGGTGGCCCACTCCTCCACTGCTGAGACTGCAGCATATTTATACCTCTTCAAGCCGGGCACTGCATGTACATCACTGCCTTCCACGAAGGTCAAGACCCGTGCCTAACCAGCTCCAAGTTGGCCAAGCCTGCTGTTGGCAGCACCTTCGCAGCCCATGGAGATCACCCATGTCAACCTGGGTTCCAGGCCACAGCCTTGTCCATGGTGTCCTCTCTGGCTTCCCTTACAGTACCCTGTGCCAAAGCCAGAAGTGCGATTCCCACAGCCTGTCCCCAGTTCTGCCCCCTGCTGCCAGCAACAGGCCACTCCTGTGGCTTGGAGGAAGCCCATGCAGCCAGCTTACTGTTCCCCACCATGTTTGGTCACCACTCGGTATGGTCTGTCGGGTACTGAGGACAGGTCTCCTGTGGGAGGGGGGTCTTCTGGCCACATCTGCCATTCATCTGTCCCTGAGGCAGAGTGGTTACCGTGGTGCCTCTCCTGTCCCCTTCCCGAGGTCCTCCACAGAGGAGGGGCGGCCGGGCTGTGCAGAAAGCACAGGGCCATAAGCCTTGTCAGTGACCAGGGCATCCACACACCTGTCCTTTAAAAAGAGAAGCCAGGGTTTTTCTTACCTCTGAGACAGTTCCAGTTCTTTGGCCTTCCTTGTTCCTACCAATGCTGTTTCAGAGAAGTGGGAATGAGGAGGCATATGTCTCTGTCTTATTTTTCTAATTTCACCTGTTGGAAACCTGGTATCACAGAGACAGGAGTCACAGGTTGAGGGAGGGGCGAGGATTTCAGGAGCCTCTCGACAGAATTCAGGTCCTCCTCAGTGGGACCAAAGGGCATAAGAACAGTGGGGCGCTTGCTTAGAAACTGTTCTCCAGGAATGTGCTCCAAGAACCAGCCCAAGTAGAAGTAGATGCTTTCAAATCATCTCTGTCCAGAACAGTGGTTCTGGACCTTGGCTGTACCTTGGATTCACCTGGAAAATTAATATGGGGCCCCTGGACCCACTCCTGGAACATAGTAATTCTGGGCATCAGGGGTTAATTTTTTAAATAGTTGTAGATTCTCAGAAGAGTTCTGAATGTCCTTCACCCAGCTTCCCCTGATGGTAACATCTTGCATAACCTTGGTACATTTATCAACTGAAAATGTAACATTCGTGCAATACTCTAACTGCAGACTTTATTTGGGTTTTATCATTTTTCCCAGTAATGTCCCTTTTCTGTTGCAGGATCCAATCTAAAATACTAAGTTGCACTTACACCTATATTGTTTCCTCACTTTATTTTGAAATAATTAAGATTCATAGGAAGTTGCCAAGCTGGAGGTCCCCCAGGCCCTTTAGTTGGTCTGCCTTGATACTTGCATCTTATGCAGTGATGATACTGTTTCAGAACTGGGCTGTGGCTGTAGAGTTCTGCATCAGTTGGCACACATGTAGTTTTGTAACTGCCACCACAGTCCCACATCTCGTCACAGTCACCAAGAGGCTGTTCCTCAGACTATCCTGTTGGAGCCACCTCAGCCCTATCCCCCCAACCACTAATCTGTTCTTCATCTCTGTTCTTTTGTCCTTTCAAAAAAGTTGTGTCTGTGGACTCACAGTATAACATTTGAGATCGCTTTCCACTCGTTCTCTGGAGCTCACCCAGGTCATTGCGTGTGACAGGAGTTTACCCCTTTCTGTTGCCAAATGGTCTCCCACGGAACACTCTTCAACCCCTTGAAAGACAGACACCCGATGGTTTCCAGTGTGGGGCTGTTCCAAATAAAGCTGCTACAAACATCCACGTGTGGGTCTGTATGGAAAGGGCCTTGCTGCTTATGGGATAAATGCAGGAGAGTCATGGCCGGGTCATATGGTCATGTGGTCTGGTAAAAAAGGAAACTGCTGAACTCTAGTGCGGCTGTACCATCTTTCATTCTTCCCTGCAGTGTAGGATGATCCAGCCTCCAGGTCCTCATGGCCACCTGGTGGAATCACTGCTGTCCACCGTCACTTATAGGTGTGGATGGATTCCTTCCTGTGGGTTTCATTTGCATTTTCCTTTTTACTCCAGTGGCATGCCCGTATTCTTTACCTATGTGCTAATTATTTGAATTTTTATTTTTTGAGACAGGTTCTTACTGTGTAGCCCTGGCTGGCCTTGGGCTCATGATCCACCTGCCTCAGCCTCCCAAGTGCTGGAGTTACAGGGATGTGCCAACACAGTGGGCTAGGTTTTTCACAGATTTGAGAGTTCCTGATAAATTCTAAATACAAGAGTCTGGGTTTTTGGTTTGTAAATATTTTATCGTGGTCTATGGGGTTAGGGTGTCCATCTGAATCACCCCGGAAGCCTTGTGGGAAAACTTGGTCCCTGTACTCCAGCACTGTTGGCACGGTCTGGTAGAGGGAGGTTAGGCCAGGGCTGCCCTGCGGGGAACTGGGACCTCTGTATCATGTGCCTCTGCCATGATGTGTGCAGCCCAGAGGAACAGGACCGCAGTGGACACCATAAGCCCAAATAAACCTCTCCTCCTGGAAGTTGACCATTGCAGGTACTTTGTCACAGTGTCAGAAGCTGACAAGTGCAGCCTGAATATTCATCGCAACAGGGCCTTTAGGATACAAGTTTTTAATTTTTTTTTTTTTTTTGGTATCAGGATCGAACTTGGGACCTTGTGTTTGTGAGGCAGGTGGTGGCACCACTGAGCTAAATCCCCAGCCCGTGTTTTTAAATTTTGAAGAAGTTACTGATTTTTCTTTTATGCATTGTGGTTTTAGCATCACATGTAAAAACCCTTTACCTAGTCCTAGATCCTAGGTGTTACCTAACATTTTTCCTAAAACGTGTCTCTTTGTTTTGTGTTTTGGGCCTTTTTATTTTCAGAAAGGATCTCGTGAAATTGTGCAAGGTAGCTTTGAACTTAGTACTCCTGCTTCAGCCTCATGAGGAGCTGGGATTAAGGTGTGCACCACTACAACTGGCTAAAAGTTTTATGTTTAAGGTTGTGAATCGTGAATTAATCTTGGTTATAAATTAGAAGACTTAGGTCAGTGCTCACATTTCAGTTTTTAAAGCCTATAGGTGCCTGTTCCACTGCCATTTGTTCAAAAGGCAGTTGCTTCCACCCCCCCAGCAATCAAATGGCTTTTGCGCCTCTGCCAGGTGGCGTGGTAGATAGCTGGCACCCCTGCCACTGGGGAGGCTAAGCAGGAAGTATGAGGTCAGCCTGGGCCACTTAGACCCTGTCTCGAAATGCAAAAAGGGCTGGGCATGTAGCTCAGTGGTGGAACACTTGCCCAGCCTGTGTGTGGCCGAGGTTCAAACTCCAGTACTAAAAAAAACTGGGCATTTTTGTGTGGTTCTATTTCTGGGTTGTCTTCTGTGTGCCCCTCTGTCATATTACAGTCTCTTGCTTATTGTACCTGTACAGGAAGTCTACAAACCAGTAGACTGATTTCCTTGCCCACCTTCTTTTCAAAATTATTCTATTTTTAAAATAAATTTTAGAATAATTCTAGAGTGATCTTGTCTATATCTGCTAAGGATTTTGCTGAGATTTCAGTAGTTGTGGCAGTTATGACATCGTTTTCAACAACTTTCAACCTATGAACATAGTTTATCTCCATTTATAAATTTTGATTTCATTTTGGTTTGTAGATTTCAGCATCCTTCCTTACATGATTTAACCCTAAGTATTTCATTTTCCTAAACAGGTATACATGGGCCGAGGATTTAGCTCAGTGGTTCCACTGCCTGCCTCACAAGTGCAAGGTCCTGAGTTCGATCCCTGGTACAAAAAACCCAAAAAAAACCCTGTGAGCTCTGCATCATAGGAATCCCTAAACAGGTATACATGCTTGTGTTTTTAACTTTTGTGTCCACATGTTCCTTGCTGGTAGGGCGAACTAGATTGTTATGTGTTTATGTTGTATCCTGAGACCTTGCTGGACTCTTAGTCTAAATAGGCATTTTGGGCAGATACATTTGGATTTCTTGGTATATGCCGATGAGCGTGTTGTCCATTGACCTAATGCTCTGGATATCAGGACTTTACAAACTGCACTTGTAGTTCTAACAAGCAGCTGTGGCTGCAGACTGCTGCTGCCCTCTGAACTTGCCCATCTGTGCACCGGGATGCCCAGAGCAGAATCACCAGGCACTAGGGCCCCACACTGAGGCTGGGTGACCTTTCTGTCAGGCTGGTGAGGTTCATAGGCCCTGGGCCTACAAGGCTGTCCCTGGTGACCAGTGAGCTGGCTTTTCCCAGCCCAAAAAAAGACAACTAGGCCGTGATGGATAGCCAATTTAATGAAAAGTACTGATCCGTATAAAAAGGTGCTTTTGTTTGTCACTTGAGTGTCCTCATTTCTAGATGAGGACTTGTCATTTCCGTAGACTTAAGTTCCTGTTTTGCCCGTGGCACCTGTGTCATGGTGCAAACAGGTTCTGTTACCACAGGGCAGGAGCTGCCCATGGACAGGTGTGTGGCCCAGAGCAGGCGCACGTCGGCATTTTCACATAGTAGTGGTAGCCTTGTTCTGGCCTGAGAAGCCTACCATGGTCACACTAGGAATAACTGCTGCTGAATGGATGGACGCCACCCTGGGTGCTGCCTACGACCCAGGACCGCCTGAGGGAGGCTGAGCCTCTGTCGTTTCGCCCTCCTCCAGCCTGTGGTTCTGTTAAGGGCATTTAAGGAGCCAACCCTGCCAGTGTACATGTTTATACTGGGAGGAGTGGAAGAGAAGGAGCCGGTCAGGAGAGGTTGTAGAGTGGGGCCCACAGGCCAGGGCAGGATGGTGTCCAGGTGTCCCTTCCTGCCCTGCTGCCAGCTGGGCGCAGAGCTCCTCAGTGTGCTGCTAGTGGGGGAGGGGAGGGATGGAGGGAGGGAAGGTGGAGCAGAGGCGGGGCAGCTGCAGGGCTCCAGCACCAGGGGGCAGCAGAGCCCCAGGGAAGCCAGGGTTGCGGCCGCCCCAAGAGTTGAGTGGGCTACAAGCAACCCCAGCCAAACCGGTGCCGTCCCTTGGCCTCTGAGGCAACCTGGAGGGTTCTGGCTTCTGTCCCGTGGGCCTCAAGCCCTGAGGGCCCTGCAGACCCCAGAGCCCACTAAGTCCCGAGGACCAGAGCTGCTCTGGACCCATCAGGTTGCCACCAATGGCCCAGAGACCCACCTGGGGCAGCAGCAGCCACACCAGTGCCTGTGCCGGCATGGTCTCGAGTGGTCTCCTCGTGTGTCTGGGATGCAACTGCCAGCCACCTCTATGTCACCGTGCAGGAGACCAGACCTTGCCCTCCACCGAGCTGGTCTCCCACGCTGAGGCTGAGGGGACACTGGGAGATGTAGTCTTCTGCACCACTGGATCACTTCCTGCTCCAGCCCTGTTCCCACTCTGTGCCACTTTGCCACCCACTGCTTGTGGTCCCTGCATCAGCCCATCCCAGCCTCGGCCCAGCAGGGATTGCAGTGCTCCACACAGCAGGCGCCTGGCCTCTACCAGCCGGCCCTCACAGGGCTGCCTTGGGCCCAAGAGGAATAGGACTGAGGCCGAGGACTACGAGGTGTGGTGCAGAGAGCCCAGGGGGCTGGAATGGCGACTGAGTGACCCCGTGGGTCTGTGTAGTCAGCACTGGGTTCAGGGGTGCCCGATGTGGGCCTGCAGTGCTTCCCGGATGCCCCGCTGCCAGTCTTGGGCCAGCTGGATGGGGGTCAGGGAGGCCTGGAACAAGGATGCTGATTCAGTCCTCCTGTACCCCCAGCCTCACCCCACCCCAGGCCTTGCCAGCCACACGAACCACGTTCTGCACACCCAGCTTTGCTCCATACAGCAGCAGCAGCTTCATGGCCTTGTAGTGACTTTGGCACACGGCTTCATGGAGAGCTGTGTCTCCCTTGTGTGGAGAAGGGAGGTCCCCTCCTGCCTGCATCCTGGCCCCTAGGCAGGCAGCTCGGGCAGCCCCTTTTGGGCAGCCCCTTCACCCAGTCTCCTGAAAAACCCAGCACCTATCTTGTCCTGCGCATCAGTGTGGGGCCCACACTCCACGAGGTACTTGAGGCAGTCGGAATGGCCTGTTCGCACTGCCACGTGGAGGGGGATGCTCCAGATCTAGGAGGATAGGGTCAGGGTGGGGTCTGGGCTGGCGACACCCCCTCCTGGTCCAAAGGGCCCACCTGCTCTGCCCCTGGCCTGCTCCCCTGCGCTAACGGTCACCTACTCAGGTGTCTGCTCCCTCACCTTGTCCCGGGCATTGACCTGGACTCCCTGGTTGAGCAGCTGTTTGAGGATGTCCAGGTGTCCTCCCCGGCAGGCCCAGAACACAGGGGTCTTGTCCAGCTGCACTACAAGGATCAGAGCTCTTAGTGTGCAATGCGGAGCAGGAAGTGGCCACAGGCAGGCCCCTCCCCTGTGCTCACCAGGTCACTCGCGTCCACTGCGGCCCCGGCTGCCAGCAGCTTGCTCACCAGCTGGCTGTGACCCTTCAGGCAGGCCCAGTGCAAGGCCGTGCGGTGCAGCTGAGGTGAGATGGAGGTGAGGCAAACAGCTACCCATCTCTGCCCAGAGCCCCAGTGTCCCCCATCCCACCATCAGATCACGGGCCTCCCCCTTCCCGCTCACATCACGCCACCACGTCTGAGCCCATGAATAGCCCACCAAGTCCCCAGCCAGGACCAGGATGCACAAGATGGTGTTCATATCACCTGCCCGCACTACCTTGTCATGGGCACTGGGGTCCCCTCCATCTGTCAGGTATTTGTCAATCAGGGAATCCTGATTCTCAGCAGCTGCCTTCAGGAACATCTCTAGGTCCACAGGTTTCTGCTGGCCCTGGGGCTGCAGCTGGGTGAGCGGAAGAACAAGGCTAACTCACTCCCGGAGCTGGCAGGCAGCCATGATAACAGCATCCCCAGCCTGGCCCAGGGGCTCTGAGTGCAGACAGGACCAGCACACTGTGGGCCTGGGCAAGTACAGTTCTGATTTTCAGTCTCCCAGGAGATTCTCAATAGGCCATGGGGTGTGTGTTGTGCCCGCCACGTTCACACGCTGAAGTCCCAACCCTGGTACCTTGGGATGTGACCCTATTTGGAAACAGGGTCCTTCCAGATGGTACTAGTTGAGGTTATACTGGAGTAGGGTGGGCCCCTTTCCAATATGATGGTGCCAAAGGGAGCTCTACTGTGGGACTGGTGTCCTAGTAACAAGATGTCAGGGAGAACAGCACGAGACAAGAGGCAGAGGTGAGGCACCTACAAGCTGGGGACTGCAGGGAGCTCAGAGGAGGTGGCGTTGCTTCCCCTTCATCCCTTCCTTTGGGGAGAGGAACCACCCTGCTGACCCGACCTGCAGCCCCCAGAGCCTCGACACAGCTGGGACCTTCACCCTGGCTGTCCTAGTAGACTGCAAGGGCCCCTGGGCGCCAGCTGTGCAGTGTGGCTCCAGCATCCTCTTCCCCCATCCCCCAGGGTTGGGAGACACTGCCCACCCCCTTCTCACCTCAGCCTCAGGCTCAGATTCCCTGGGAGGGACTCTCCGTCTTAGTCGCTTTTTTCTCTGTCTTTGAATCAAGTTTTCTAAGTCTGCCAGTGTCTCCAGATTCATTCTGGAACTGTTGAATTTTTCCAACTAGGGCAGAAAGTGGGTAGGAGACAAGACCAGGCTGGCCATCAGCCCCAGGGCAGGGGACCTTGGGGACAGGCCCTCAGCCAGTCTGATCCTGGCCTGCACTGCCCAGAGGGGACACCCGGCGCTCAGGATGCCCACATGGGACCTGCTGCCATCTCTGCCAGTGTCACTCACTCTCTTGTCTTCCTCCTGTTTCAGCTTCTCCCAGGCCACGGCCTCGTGGGGCCCCAGCCTCCAGTCACAAGGCCTGCCTCTCGGACCGGGAGCTGAGTGTCCAAACCCCAACACTTTCTCTTCATCTCTTTCTCCACTCACCTGTGTACAGAATGTGGACAGAGAATCAGGAGAGCTGGAGGGACCCTTAGAAAACAGTCGTGAGGGTGAGGCAGGAGGATTGCAAGTTCAAGCCCAGCCTGGGAAGTTTAACAAGGCCTTGTCTTAAAAAGGCTGGGGTGTAGCTTAGTGCTCCCTGGGTTCAATCCCTAGTGCTGAATCAAAGAAAGAGAAAAGGGCCGGGGATTTGGCTCAGTGGTTCCACCGCCTGCTTTGCAAGCTCAAGGTCCAGAGTTCGATCCCCGGTACCAAAAAAAAAAAAGAGAGAAAAGAAAACAGAGTTGCAATGACTGCGGGAGCTGACCTGGATCACAGATTGAGGGCTCTCCTCCCCCAAGCTTCCTGGCCATCTGCAGCGCTGGCCAGCACCCCAACACCTGTGGTAGCACCCAAGGCCCAGGAGGCCAACTGCCACTGCCTACTTGCTCCATCATCAGGATCCCAGGGCCTAGCCAGGCAGGTGACCATGGCTATTTATATATGCATGCCCTTGCCCGGGAGCCTCGGGGCAGACGACACCTCAGCCTCCCTCCTGGGCTGCGCCTGCATTCCTAGCAGATCATGCTATACTGCCACCTGACCCCAACCTCAGAGGGACAGAGGAGATGCTTCTGGGGACAATTCTGGGTCCCTGGGTCCCGTTCTTGGCTTCAGGAAGCTGTGTTTCCAAATCTGTAAAATGGGCTCACCTTAGCACTTCCAAGGGTGCCATGAAGATGACAGGAGCTTTTGGCACTTGTCGGCCAACAGCCAGTGCCCCAGGCATGCCGGCTGGTGGCCACACTTGGGAAGGCACATTTTGGGGAAGAGAAGGGTTGGAACTGTGGGGTAGCACTGCCTAGGGCTTTCAGCAGAGGAGAGGTGAACTCCCTCTGACATAGCAGCCCTGGCACCCTAAGGCTCCTGGCCTTGGAATTGCCTCCTGACAGGGGCTATGCCAAAGTAGGGGTGGCTGGGGCCACTGCTGGACCCCACAAGCTGAGCCCCACAAGCACACCCTGCGAACCCCAGACTGTCACAGCCATCAAAGCTTCTCACTGCCTGGGGCACCCAGGGGCACCCTTCTTCCGGCCACCAAAACAGCCAGACCCTCTGGATGCTTTCAGGGACTGTCATGGCACTGGGAATAGGAATGCCACCACCACTTCCAAAGCAGCCTGCCACTTCTATCCCTTCTATCCCTGGACCTCTCAGTCCAGGATAGAATGCAGTGCACCTGAGCCGTGGTGTGGCCCAGCAGCACAGTCTAGCATTCAGAGGCCCCGTTCCCATCCCCTGCACCCCATTTGCTGCTTCCCATTCGTCTTACTCCCCATCCCCTCACCACCTCATCCCCACAGCCCCAGCTTTAGGCCACCAAGAGCCAGAGTCCATCCTCACCAACTGCCGAATGCTGATGAAGTCCATGGTCCCTGCTGCTCTCCACACCCCCACCAGAGGAGCATGACGATAGGCCCTTTTATAGGGGAGCTGACTCCTGGGGATGGCCAAGGCCAGATGACTCTGGGGGCTTGTCACATGGACCAAAATACCCATCTGGGATTGTGGCCTGCTGAGGGCAGGGCCGCCTCCCTGCCAGCCCCACCCTCCATGAGCCATTTAACCCGCTGGGGTGCCTGAGCCACCACCCCCGATGGGGGCACTTTCTGTCCTTGGTTTGGAGCCCCCTGGAGGGGTCCAGCCCCCACCTCCATGGTGCAGGTCTGGCCACCTACGCCACTGAGAAGACCCAGCTCAGTTGTCCAGAGAACAAGAAGCGAGTCCCCCGAGGACCTTAGGAGGGACAGAGAAAGAGGCTGACCTACAGCCCGAGGAATCTGCAGCCAGGCTCATCTGATTTCCACTGCTGTGTCACCATGCACGCTGCCCACCTCAGGAGCTAGGCCCAGCTGGTCCCCAGTCCTCAGGCCTCTGAAGAGGACGTCTCTACCCCGTGCAGGTCCCTACACATGCTCTCTGGGCACACAGTGTACCCTTCACAGGGACAGGGACTAAGAGCTGCAACAGGTCCTGCTGTGTAATAACAAGTTGGGCATGGTGGTACACACCTGTGATCCCAGCACTCAGAGGCTGGGGTGCAAAATGAATTTAAGGCCACCCTGAACTACAGTGAGACCCTGTCTCAAAAATAACAAAACAATCCCAGTAACCATGAATCCAGCTGTAAGGCAATCTGTCTCCTGCCACAAGATCATAGTCCCTCCCTCTCCTTCAGAAGCCACACATACCCTTCGCCCAGCAGGGCCTTGACTTTTGCTTGACTTTGAAGGCAATCAGACAGTCAGGGTCAGAATGGCAGGGCAGAGATGCCCAAGAGAGTGAGGCCCAGCACACTGCCAGGGGTCCCGCCTGTGGGGCTGGCAGGTGCAGGAACTCCCTTTCAACAAGGCCCAGGCAGAGCCAGAATTGGTTTTTTCCCTTGGTACTAGGTATTTTTTTGTATTTTGTTGTGCTCTACCACTGAGCTATAGCCACAGCCCCACAACCCTTTATGATGCCTTGTTCTCGCTGTTCTTTGAGGAGGGAAAGAGTTAACCAGACTGGAATGGTAGTAGATAAGAAAGTCAGGCTTTGGCCTGCCAACTCTTAATTCCTTCCCTTCAACATTCAAGGACAAGGGTGTTTTGCAACAATGGGCTTCATCTGAAATTCTTAGCAGAAAGCCAGAGTATCCCACATGAAACTGTTAACTGACTTTACAAAATACATTATTCCTAGCTGGGTCATCCTGTACACCTGTAATCCCAGCTACCCAGGAGGCTGAGTCAGGAGGATGGCCATTTTAAGCCCAGCCGGAGCAACTTAGACCCTGTCTCAAAATAAAAAATAAAAGGGTAGGAGTGTAGCTTAACAGCAGAGCACCCCTGGCTTTGGTCCTCAGTACCACAAAATATTTTTAAATATTCCTAAAAAGAAATCCAAACATGAAGCTTGAGACCTTGTCCAACCGCTCTTCTACAGTGGCCCAGGGAAATCACAGGTAGCAGTTGAATGGGTACCCTGCTGTCTCCTTGTCTGTGTACTGTGCATCTGCAGAAGCATCACGCTGCAGACACAGCTTAGTGCTCTTCCCCCTGGTGCTCACTGCCCTCTGGGGTGTCTGCAGAACCTGAGCCTTCCCTCTGGAGGAGCAGGCCAGTTTCTCAGTACTGGGATTTGAGCCCAGGGCCTTCACACTGAGCTGCATCCCCTTCATTGAGACAGAGTCTTGCTAAGTCACTAAATTGCCCAGGCTGCCTTGAACTTGTGATCCTCCTGGCTCAGCCTCCCAGAGTGCTGGGATGACAGGTGGTGTTGTCTGCTGTGGTGCTGAGGATGGAACCCAGGTCCATACACGTGCTAGGCAAGGGCTGTACCACTGACCCAAGCCAGGTCCCCTGGGCACACCTTTGTAAATGCCCTGTAAACAGACAGCTTTGTGACCACAGATGAACCTGCCTGGGTAGCTACAGAGAAGTCAGATCATTGGCCCTGCTCATTTAATTTAAATAGGTATGGCAATGTACATAAAAATATATGCAAAGCAAAGGATCAATATCCAAAAATAAACCACTTCTCTGACTCAGTAAAAACATTTAAATTGGCACTGCTGGGAGGTCCAGAGGGCCAGGCGTGCAGCCCACTGTACCGAACAAGGCCTCGCAGGCAGCCGCCTATGGGACACTGGGCAATAGACTCTGCACCAGAGCCGCATGGCCAAGCGGGCCCAGGCACTCAGGTGTGCTTGCAACATGCCTGGGATCTCTTAAGTGCCCTCACCCAGTCCCCAGATCCACCCTGTGGTGACTGCTCCCAGCTCCCAGATGAGACACTAGGGACAGAGGCTGAAGCTCCCTGTCCCAAGGTCACCGAGTCAGTCACACCACTCACCTCTTCTCCCACAACTCAGTTTTGTGCTTTTAGGTTTAGTATTCAATCCCAACATTCATCTTTGTGTGTAGGGAGGTAAGGTAAGGAGATAACTTTATTTTTCCAAGTGGGGAGAAGTTTCCATAGGAATAACTTAAAATGTGATTGTCTGTCCCAGCTTAAATGCTGCCAGCCCTGCTGGCCTCCCCCTGGCTGCTGCCCTGGCCGAAAGTGGCCCTGGGTCTCCTAGGTGCACTGTCCGCCCTGCGTGGACACCGAGCAAGTGGGGCAGTGTGGCATGGTATCTGCTCCCCAGCTGGGTGCTGTCACCTTAGCTGGTCAGCAGATCCCGCAGGGTGGTGTTGTCCGGCAGCAAGTCACAGGCGAGCCGCGCCTTCCGGTCCCGGATGGCCTTCAGGGCCGGGCTGTGCTGCAGCAGCAGGGAGCAGATGTCCCCATGTCCCCTCTCAGCAGCCTGTGGAGAAAGTGCCCCATCAACAGGTGGCACCAGGGACCCTGGTGGTCCTGCTCTGCTTCGGGGAACTTCTGCTCCTAAAGCAGGGGGCTTATGGAAATTGAGATGTGAGCAGATGTCTAATTGCACCCAATATGGGGCCTTGCACAGACTGGCGAAGCAACCAGGCCAGCAAGGTCATCAGCCCAACCTCTCTGCCTCATGCCCTCTGCCCTGTAGCCCTGCTTTTCCCAGCCAGACCTGCACATTGCATGTCCACACTTGAACCTTAAGCACTCTCAGCACCCACAGATCCCCAGGTGCTGGTGGGCATGGTTGCCATCCTCAGGGCCTGCTAAACTGTGCAGGGATGACCTGGGCATTCTGGCCCAGCTCTCTCCTCTCCTCTGCTATCACGCATCCCAGACACCCATTTCCAACTTCCTCCAAACAGCAGGGACATGAGGTGAGCTCTGCATATGACATCCTCTCACTGTCCCCTCAGAGGCAGATAGCACCACTGTCCCCAGCTCACACAGGAAGAGACCCGGGCTCCAGTAAGTGACCCAGGTCCCAGGCACCCCAGGCGTCTAGGTCAGATCTGTGTGACTTCAAGGTCGGCACTCTGGATAACTCTTGTCGTCCCTCTGCTGCTTCCTCCTCCCCAATGACAAGGGCATCTGAGAGGTGGCAGCCCCCACATCTCAAGCCTGAACCCAGATCTTGCTGTACAGAGCTTCATAAGGACCTGGGATGTGAAACTCCCAACTTTGCTGCCTCCATCAGGCAGGGGTGTCCTGCAGGCAGTTGGGAGACATTCATCCCCAATAATGTTTTTAAAAAAGTAAAGTGCCAGCCAGGCCTGGTGGCACATGACTGTAATCTCAGAACTCGGGAGGCTGAGGCAGGAGGATTGCTGTGACTTCAAGGCCAGCATGGACTACATAGTGAGTTCAAGGCCAGCCTGAACTGCATAGTGAGACTCAGTTCCAACAAAATAAAAACAAGAAAATGAAAAGAACAGAGGTATAGGGAACAAGGGCAGGAGGTCAGGATGAGGCTGGAGAGGTGGGAGGTCTTACAGATGGCTATGGATGAGAATCTCTGGGGTATCGGAGGGAGAATAGGGCTCATCAGACTCTTAAAACCAACGCTCTGGGGGAAAATTAACATGAGGGTGAGAGAGGAATATATCTGCACACATACACCATATAGGAGTGGAAGCCACATGCCCGCCTAACACACCTGTAATCCCAGCATTATGGGAGGCTGAGGCAGGAGGATCATAAGTTTGAGCCCAGCCTGGGCAACTTAGTGAGACTCTGTCTCAAAAATAAAAAATGAAAAGGGCTGGGGATGTAGGTCAGTGTGAAAGGCCTGAATTCAGTCCCCAGTAAAACACACACACACACACACACACACACACACACACACACACCCTCTTATAGATGCCCACTAGAAGGCAGTTGGGGTGGGAGGGAAGCCCATTTTCCCAGTGTATTCTCTGTTCTCCTGGACTGCTGACCATGTGGGTATCTCTGGTCAGGACACTCAATGAAGCGATCGCTGTGGCTCTGACCTTGACAGCAGACTGCAGGGACAGGAAGGAGGAGCACGGGTTTCAGAAGCTGATGACACCTGAGGGAAAGAAAGCTAAAAGGGTGCTGTGCACTTTCAGCCACATGCACAGGAAGAGGCTGGAGGATCATGCATTCATCCTGAAGTGGTGAGAGGTAAGCATTGATTTTTATTTTTTTCCCCTCCACCTTTCTGTTTCCCCCATGTTTTCTACCATGAGAATGTTATAACTTCTTCTTTTGTTTGCTTTTAAGACAGGGTCTCACTATGTAGTTCAGGCTGGCCTTGAACTCACAGTGTAGACCAGGATGCCCTTGAACTTGCATGAATCCTCCTACCTCACCTTCCCAAGTGCTGGAATTATAGGCATGCACCCTCCCAAATCCCAGTGTGTTATAACTTACAGGAAGAAAATTTTGGGGATGGACATAGTGGCGGCCGAGGTAGAAGGATCACTATGAGTTTGAGGCCAGACTGGGCTATGTAGAGAGACCCCATCTCAAAAAAACAAAAAGAAGAAGAAAGTTGTGGCAAGGAAAAGGGACCAACCTTATGCAGACTGGTCATGCCGTCGTCATCTACCAGCTGAGGGTCAGAGCCGTGTGACAGCAGCAGCCGTGCAATCTCTGTGTGGCCGCAGTAGCTGGCACGGTGCAGAGCTGTGGCGCCCCCATGGGTCTGGGCATCACACTTGGCCCCACTCTCCAACAGGAACTGGCACACAGCATAGTGGCCGTTGCGGCTGGCATAGTGCTGCAGAGAGCAGAGACCCAGGTCAGGCTGGAGGCAAGGGTAGCATGGTGGCGAGGGCATGGGTCCCATGGTCACCTCCGGGCTGCCCGGCAACAGTGGCACCTGGTGGGCAAGCTGCTGCATCCCCACAGTCAGCTTCCTCCCAGAGGAGGCACAGGGAGGAGTGTCCCTCCCTCCCTGTGCTGTCATGCCAACAGAAGGCAATGCTCATAATGTACTTGCAGAACGGTGCCCAGCAGGTATGGGTGCTGGCTTCCTAAAAAGGGATTTGGCTCAGCAGCACCGCACCTGCCTGGCAAGCACAAGGTCCTGAATTCAATTCCCGGTATTGAAAAATACATAAATAAGTAAAAAGGGACCTTTGCTGAAAGAAAGGGAGGATGAGGCATAGGCATGGGGACGTCTTCCTGGCTAGGACTCCAGCAGCACAGGGAACAAGTCAAGGCTGGGACACAGATTCCACAGCTTCTTTGTGTCAAGGGGAAGGAGCAGAGTGAAGAGACAGCCCATAAGATGGGGTGCTGGCCACAGGGCTTCACAGGCAGGCCAGAGGAGAACCCCTGTTCTGCCCCAGGGGAAACAGCCCAGCAGTCATGGGCAAGTGAATGCAACAGAGAACTCTCAGAAGGGGTACGGATGGCCAATAAGTGTGTAAGAAAGATTCACTATCCTTAGCCAATAGGAAAACGCAAATCAAGACTACACTGAGCCGGGCACAGTGGCACACGCCTGTAATCCCAGCACTCCAGTGGCTGAGGCAGGGGGATCACTGTGAGTTTGAGGCCACCCTGAGCTACATAGCAAGATCCTGTCTCAAAAATAAATAAATAAATACATTGAGACCTCCCAACTCACCCCAGTCAGAATGGCTATCATCAAGAACACAGGAAACAATAATGCTGGGACAGATGTGGGGAGAAAGGAACCCTTCTACACCTCTGTGGGAATGTAAAATAGTATAGCCACTATGGAAATCAGCATCAAGGGTCCTTAAAACCTAAAAACAGAGCTATCATTTGATCTAGTTGTGCAACTCCTTTGCACATACCTGAAGGAATTAAAGTCAGCACACTACGAGGACACCTGCAGACCCACAATTACTGCGCACAGTTCACAGTAGCCAACGTATGATGCCCATCGGTGGATAAATGGATAAGAAAATGTTAACACGCACACACAATCGAGTATCATTTAGCCAAAAAAAAGAATAAAATTCATTTACCAGAAAATGGATGGGTCTGGAGATCATTACAGCAAGTGGAATAAGCCACATTCAGACAAGTACCACATTTTCCTTAATGTACGGAAATTTAAAAGGCAATCAGAAGAATGAGGCAGGAAGATTTTCAATTTGATGCCAGCCTGGGCTACAGAGCAAGTTCAAGGCCAGTCTAGACCACATGTCAAGACCCTGTCTTGGGGGAAAAATAATGGGCATGGTAGGGCATGCCTGTAATCCTAGCACTCTGGAAGGCTGAGGCAGGACTGTGAATTCAAGCCACGCTGGGCACCTTGGCAAGATCCTATCTCAAAGGAAAAAATTAAAAATGGGTTGGGGATGTAGCTCACTGCAAAGCACCTAGGTTCAGTCCCCAGTACTGCAAAAAAAAAAAAAAAAAAGAGAGAGAGAGAAAGAGAGAGAAAGAAAACTGTTGGGCTGGGGATGTAGCTCTTGGTGGAGCACCAGGCCCTGAGTCCAAGCCTCAGCACCACAAATAAAAGGAATGGGGAGGTCCATCTGGGCTCTGGCTTCATCACATTGGCTTCATCATGCTTGTCCTGCGTTGACATATCACTCCCATCATGGCACCCAGGGGTCAGAGTCTCACCGTGTCCCCCGGGGCCTAATTTTCTTCTACCAGCTCCTCCTAAGGTCTCACCACCCCAGCCCCGGTGGTTCTGGGATCAGGCTTGGACACACAGGCCTCTGGAGACACTAAGCCAAACCACGGCACAGAAGACACAGGTGAGCACTGGTCCCCTCCTCGGAGAGCTGGCAGTCACCAGTCTAGTGCCCTTTCCCGACCCTTACCAGGGCGGTGTAGCCAGCTGAGTCTGGCTGGCTGGGGTCCATGGCCTTCTGGATGAAAGACTTCACTCGGGCCAGGTCTCCATCCAGGGCTGCCGACCAGATGCCTGCAGAAAGCCACGCAAAGACTGAGAAGTGCCTCGAGGCCCAGACCATTTAGTGCTTCTGCTACCTCTGGACCCAAGTCTCCATGTCTATAAATGGGAGATTTGGTCATTCAACAAATATTAACAGTCAGGCCTGGTAGCCACACCTATAATACCTGCACTCAAGAGTCTGAGGCAGGAGGATTGCAGTGAGTTCAAGGGCAGCCTGGGCTACATAGGAAAGACACTGTCTCAAAAACCAAACAATCCGCAAGAACCAGAGTTCTATCCCCGGTACCGAAAAAAAAAAAAAAAAAAGAATAGAAAAAAACCAAACAACCAATCAAGCAAAAAATGTGAAAACCATAGCCACAGTGGGGAGTGGCATTGAAGCCACATAGCCAGAGGTATTCAGTGCTACACACACACTTCTGGGGTTTTGGTGCCAATGCCTGAGCAGGGTCGGGAGGGACAGCTGCAGGGCTCTTGGGTGGCAGGAGCCAGACTGAGGCTGTGTGTGTGAAGCCGGGAGACAGAGGGTGCTACCAACTCCTCTGGAGAGCCTGAGAGCCTCCACTCTCCTGCACTGAACCAGGAGTTCATTCATTCAGCAGACGATTACCACACATGGGCAGGGCACCCCCACCAAACCCTAAACCTGAACAGTCTGACAGTATCTGAGGGGAAAAGCCACACCTGATTGCACTCAGTGAGGACACATGTGCACTGCACACCTTCAGGCTACGTGCCTAGTGCAGACAAAACAGGAACTGGGTTTCAAATTGTGTCCCATTCCCAAGAGATCGCAGTATATGCAAATATCCCCAAATTGGAAAAAATTCAAAATCTAAAACACCTCTGTTCCCAAGCATTTGAGCTAAGGGATATTCAACCTGTACTTCCTGTGTACCTGGTAGTGTTGTACACACTCAGGATTAGTCAAAGACAAACAAAACAAAATCCCAAATTTTGGCTTAATGGAGCTTACACTTCCATTAAAGAAAAACAAGAAATATATATATATATATATATATATATATAGAAATATATATATAATTTGTTATCTATGTATATGAATTATTTTATATGTAATTATATATATAGATATATTACATTTATATACATATATACCCAACATATTTATAAAATAAGTGAGGTGGTACTGAGTTCTGTGGAAAAAAAAACAGAAAAGAACCAGAAACAGTGGTGCACATCTGTAATCCCAGCTACTCAGAAAGCCAACAGAAGGATCACAAGTTCAAGGCCAGCCTGAGGAACTTTGTAAGACTCTGTTTAAAAGTTAAAGGCCTGGGATTGTACCTCAGTGGTAGAGTGCTTGGGCTAACATGTGTGAAACCCTAAGTTCAGTACCCAGTGACCTCTGCTCCCTCCAAAAAAATCCCAAAATGAGACCAGTGCAGGTGATGCTTAGTGATGATTGCAAGAAACCAAGGAGAACTAAAATGAGGGTAGAGAAATAGAGCAGGCACCAGGTCCATGGAGCCTTGTAGGCCATGAGAGGGAGTTTGGATTTATTCTAAAAGCAATGACAGCCAGGCATGGAAGTGCACATCTGTAATCTCAGCACTCTGGGAGTTTGAGGCAGGGGGATCAAAAGTTTGAGCCCCATCTAGGCAACTTAGGGACTTCGTGAGATCTCATCTCAAAATAAAAAATGAAAAAGATGGCTGGGGACATAACTCATTATGAAGGTCCTGGTTTCAATCTCCGTACCACAAAAACAAAAAACAATGGGAAGCCTGGTGTGGTGGTGACCCCTGTAATCCCAGTGCTCAGGAGGCTGAGGCAAGAGGATCATGAATTTGAAACCAGCCTAAACTACACGGTGAGACCCTGTCTCCAAAAAATAAAACAAATAAATAAAACCACAGGAATTGCAATAATCTGATTTACTATTTTCGAAAAGCTACTCTGGCTGCTAGGTGGGGATGGGAAAACATGGTTGGGGGCGAGCGCGAAAGTGGGAAGTCCTGCTTCCTTACCCTGGAGGATGACACAGGAGAAGTGAGGAAGTGGGCAGGCGCAGGCCCGTTGCTCTGCAGTAATGGCGAAGAGTGACTGCATCTACAGCAGCAGCATGTACCCAACGACCACAGCATCACTGTGACTGCACCAGGGACACTTGGTTCCCAGCCTTCCTGGCAGGCAGCTCTATCTAAGCTGGGCGAAGGCTACCTCTCTGGGCCCCGTAGGAAGAGCCCCTGTCATCTGTCACCTGCCGGGTTCCTGGCCACTTCTCAGGCATGTGCACTGCCCAGCCGCCCGGGCCCAAACCCGCACCGCGCAGACCCAAGCCTGGTGCCCCTGCCCTCCGGGGGGCGAAATGCCCGGTTGCAGAGTCAGCTTCCGGTCCCACTCCCACTCGAGCAGCCTTGGGTCTCCCAGGTACAGTCCTCACCAGGTGAGGACCAAGGGCCGGCCTCGCCATTTGGGCAGCTTACGGGAACGACAGCTCGGTGTAACTGCCCGCACAGTGCGCAGCCTCACCCCTCTCGAAGTTCATCTCCTCCACTGTCTGCTGCACTCCCAGCACCGCATCCGGGCACAAGCAGCACAGCCCGTTCCCGCAAGAGTGCGGCGCCGCCATCCTGACCTCTGCCGCCGGGAGGTAGGTGGAAGCAGTGCCCGCCCCGCTGTCCCAATCCGACCACTCGGCGTCCGAGGTTGTCCTCCGGTTCCGCCCCTCGCCCGAGTTGACCAATCCAGTGCCTAGGCTGTAGCTGGAGAGCCAATCGCGCGATGGGGCGGGACTTAATGCACCAGGCCACATTTTGACGCCGCCACCTGAGGGCGCCCCTCGCTAAGCGGAGGAGAGGGTTGTCGGTGCTGGGACTGGGATGCCGCGGGGGGCGGGGCCGCGGGGAGGGGCGCCGCGCCTTGCAGTTTGGGTGAACCAGGCGTCTGGGCCTGGTCCGAGCTTGAGTCCTCCGGTCCAGAACCCAGCCCTCCGACCTCTTTCAGTTACCAATCCTCGTCCCGACCCCACCCCCCACAGCAACCCGGATCCAGCCGACCGTGGGTGGCGCTGGGAGGCCTTAAAAGGCCTCGAAAGCCCTCATTCCTTCAGAATCCAATAGGGAATCCGGCATGGTGTCTCCAGCCGGTAATCCTAATATTCTGGGAGTTTGAGGGAAAAGGATTGCAAGTTTGAGCCCAGCCTGGGCAACTTAAGTGAAACTGCCTCAAAAAAGGGCTGGGGATGTAGCTCAGTGTGAAGGCCCTGAGTTCAATCCCCAGTACCACAATAAAAAGTTTAAAAAATAGCAGGTGGCCAACCAATCTGGTCACTAGGAATACCCCCAAGGCAGAACCAGGGCCTCCCGTCCGTGCCAAGGCCCCATCCCCACAGGGGCACTTGCTTTACCGAATCCAGCTCCATGTTTCTCAAAATGACCTCTCCTGATGGCTGTGGACTGTTGCCAAGAACAGCAACTCAAGTCCCAGGCCCAGCTAACTCTACCACTTAGGGGAGCTCAGGCAGTGTGGTGTGCTTGGGCCTCAGCACAGCACACCGAGAACTTTCAGTGCCTAGGCCTGGGTTGGCTACTTCTTGGTTTTTTTTGGTACCGGGGATCGAACTCGGGTCCTTGCGCTTGCATAGCAGGCGTTGAAACCACTGAGCTAAATCCCCAGCCCAACTACTTCTAACTCTATCCTTGGCACTCAAAATGCATCCAGGCCGGGGCCTGTTGTTTGTCTCAGGAACATCTGGGCCTTGTACTACTCCCTTGCCAGGACAGGCCTGGGAATTCTGGGTGGCTCCTTCCCTACATGGCCAGGACGTCAAGGCTTCAGCATTTTCCAGGCAAGCAGGCTAAAATTCTCTCTCCTGCTGAGCTGACTGGGAGCCCAGACTTCATGCAAGCCACCATTTCAGTCTTCACAGGCTTCAGCAGCTTGTAGGAAGTCCCCTCACTCCCACTTACCCTCCCCGGAGTTCTGGGAAGGCACCCCCCCAACCCCAGTGCCCTGGCTTTTCCCTCTGGCCCTGAGCCAGGCTGGCTCCCAGGGGCTGTGGCCCTGGTCTGGTTCCCAGCCCCATAGGCACCACTCTGGGAAAACACTGGAGTCTGGCTGTTCCCCCCACCCCAGAGGAGCACCACCAGGCAGGGACCACAGCAGGGCAGGCTGCCCTGGGACCCTGGCCAGGAGCATGGGGGGAGGGGGAACAGACCCAGCCTTCCTCAACCCAAGGGACCTTCCCTCTCCATAGAGAGATAAGGGTTGGCTCAAAAGTCTGGTCCTCATCACAGTAAGTTTCAATTTCTGGGCCGGGGATTTAGTTCAGTGGCACCATGCCTGCCTTGCAACCAAAAGGTCAGGAGTTTGATTCCCAATACCAAAAAGAACACTCAAACAATCAATTTCTCCGTTTTATTTGTCAATATAAAAATACTCAAACATTTACAACAAATAAATACGCGGGGACACAATAAGTTACACTGTTAGGAGCCCTCTTCCTGGGGCCAGGAGAGGGTATGCTCCTGTCTACAGCATGCCCTCCCTCTCCCCCACACAACCCTGCTCTGGAAGAGGATGAGGATAAAATACCCCGGCGGGCCCAGAGGAAGGCCCCGCCCACCCTTCCCCCCAACACAGGAGGCGCCATCTCCCTCCCCCCACCCTGAAAACATTCACAGCCCTGAGATAGGGCTAGGCCCAACCCTGGGCCCTGCACACCTCCCCACCCCTCCAGAGGGGTTCAGTACCCTGCCCACCCCACCCCCATATGTACACGGCTGCCCAGCATTTGGGACAGATGGGGGTAAGAGAGACAAAGTGATCTGACCCCTTCCCCTTCATAGCTCCAAAGACTCACCAGGAGGACCCCAGGCCAAGGAAGACTCCACAGAAACAGGAAGGCTGTGCCACACACACACTTACACACACTTACACACACACACACGCAGACACACCCACATCTTGCAACTTCTGCCTTGCAAAGTTTTGGCTGCTGGGGTCCCATGTTTCTGAGATTCACAGAAGAGGAAGGCTGGTGCCCTGGTGAGCCACTCCAAGTGGCAGTGCCCATGCTGAGCAGGTCTTCATGGCCAGGCAGGTGCTGGCAGCACCAGTCCCAGACAGAGTGGGTGCCCGAGCCATGTCCCTGAGGTAGCTAATGCCTGTGCAAAAGTAGGAGCCGCACCTCCTGCGCGCCCTGCCAATGCGGTGGGTCCCCTCACACCGAAGACTCCTCCGGGTTAGAGTCGGGCAGGGTCTGGCGCTGCTGCAGCTTGCGTCTCAGTTCATCAGCGAGCTCAGGCAGGGGGTGCCCGCCCCGGTCCTCTCCTCCTAACTGTAAGCGCACATAACCGTTGGCATTCGAGTTCCGTCCGCCCCCCAGGTGGAGCCGAGTTGGAGAAGGCAAGGGTTGGCCAGGGATGCCGGGAGGGGGGGAGGGGGGCCCGACCCCAGGCTGGCACCTTGCATGTCCAGGAACAATCTTCAGTGAGCCATCCGAGTAGTAGTAGCCAACAGGATCCCAAAGTTTCTCATCCGTTTCCGGGCCAGGCCGGAAGGGGGCACTGGTGGATTCCTTGGGCAGCTCCAGGGGGTACACCAGAGTCCTCTCGGCTGCCTTGGCACCTTTTTCCAGCTCTTCCCGCAGCCGCCGGCGTAGTGACAGAACCAGCAGCAGCAATACCAGGCACACGGCCCCCAGGGCCACCACAGCTAGCCATACCAGCCCCAGGTTTTCCAAGGGCGCCCTGGCCTCCAAGGTCACTGATGGGCCCGCCACAACAGCCACAAGGTAGCCTTCTGCAGCCAGCCGTGCCCCCTGCTCCTCCGAAAAGCAGTGGTAGGTGCCCGCATGACGGGGCTGGGCAGCCATTACCACCAGGGCCTGCAGCCGGGTATCGTAAAGGAAAGAACCAGGCTGTTCTGCAGGTAGATCCCGATCCCTGAAGGTCCAGCGGGCACGGGCCAGGTTGGAGGAGAGGCGGCAGGGTAGCACCAGGTCTGTACCAGCTACCACCGTGATGTTTTTGGGAGTGAGCCTGGCTGTAGTGGCAGAGATGAGAGAGCAGTTAGTGAGGGAAACCCAGAGCCAGGGGATGCGGGGACTCTGGCTGTGGCCCAGGGCTCGAGTAGGAGGGGGACAAAAAGGACACCTCACCTTTCTTACTGCCACGAAGGTTGCAGATGCTCGATGTGTCCAAGATGGTCACATGCTGGACCAGCAGGGATCTGGAGGGGAACCACGGATGTTAGTACCTCAACTCCAGCTTGTCTGCCCTCCCATCCCAGGGCAGGCACCCACAGAGCCCAACTCACCCGGAATGGCCACCTGTGGCCACACAGAGGCTGGTGTTGACATTCCAGGCGCAGTAGGGGTCCCGGGCAAGCACACAGTCTGCACAGGAGCGGTACTTGCTACAGGCTGCCAGGGGCACCTGAACCAGCTGAGAGCGGGAGCCGGCAAAAAGCAGCTTCTGCAGGGAAATCAAGGACAGGAGGGTCAGCAGTACCAGGGACACAGCTGGGGACAGCTCTGACTCCCCCAGGAAGCACAGCCCCAAGAGGTGGTCCTGGGAGAGAGGAGGCAGAGGCGCATCTGAAGCCTGCCGAATTCACTAAGGGCTTACTACAAGCTGGCCCAATCCCAAGCACCTTACGACTGTGACCTTATTAAACAGAGACACCACATGCGTCCTTAGGCTCACACTCGTCCCCACATTCACACACAATAAGAGCAGAAAACAGCAGCCCTAAAGATAGCAGAAATGCAGAGTAAGGTGTCTGTTCGGTGGCTGCCAACCTGTGTTTATACAACCCCACACTTTCTGCCATTATTCCATGTTCTCAGAAACAATTTGGACTCACAATAGCTGGTAAAAGGCAAGTCAATCAAAGTACACAGGGTGCTGGGAATATGCCAGAAAGTTTTGAAAAAAAAAAAATGCCAACACATCAGGGAAATGGTCAAGGAAGTAAGGAAGCTGAAGGCTGGGCCCAGAGGGCCCCTGGGGACTGTGAGGAACCCACGTCACAGGGATACCGTAAGCGTCCCGCAGCCTGGGAGGTGTGGCCAGCAGGGTGTGATGGGAAGAGGCTGGAGGGAGAGGGGCTGAGAACACATGAGCGGGGGCCAAGCCCTGAGCTGGGAATCAGTACTGGGAGACCTGGCTATATATAAAGGCACTGTGGATTCCGGTGGTTAGTGCTGTCACTTCCTGGAGCTCAGGCTCAGCTAAATGGGGCACCCACTGGGCAAACATGGGAGCCAGACAGAGGGAGCAGCATGGGGCAGCACTGGGGGTAGCAGTGTGGGGCCCAACATCCTACCTTGCTCTGAGACAGCACCAGGCTCTCCACGGGCTCCCGGTCAAACACCTGCAGCTCCTCAATCAGGTGCACCCAGGCCCCCAGGCTCACAGCCTTGAGCAGCCAGCCATCCCCTGAGAGGTGCAGGAGGTGAGCAGGAGGGCACACAGCCCTGGGCATCCCCAGCTGCCCTGTCCTGGGCACAGCCACACCTACCTGTGCCAATGAACAGCACTGTGTAGGTGGCTTCATCGAGCCCCATGATCTGGTCGACTACTAGGTGGGTGAAGTTGGCATCCTTCTTCACCAGCAGGGGCCGGCCCCACCGGGGTGCCACCTGCTCCTCCATCAGCGGGTGCTTCTTGATGAAGTTGAGGGTGTTGTCAGGCAGCTCTAGGGAGCTGGAGTAGCCGTGGCGCCGGTGCCAGTTGTTGATGCACTACATGGGGGCAGGGATGGGAGGGTACCATGAGCCAGGGGGTACAGGCACTGCATTGAGTGGGTACCCACCCCACCCCGCCCCGCCCCACAGGACTCACTGAGCCGGGCCGAGGGGTGGGTACTGGGTCCGTATAGCGGGCCCACTTCTGGGCTTGCTCTCGGTACTCCTTGTAGGGACCCTCGAACACCCGCTGGATCTCCTCCAGCTGGTACTCACAGACTGCTGATAGGTCTACATCGCCCCTGTCACAGAAAAGGGACCTCAAGGTCATACCGGTGCCCACATGACCCATCTCACTCCAGTTCTGGACCAAGAGCACAAGGCAGGGTTCAGCACAAAGTGGTCACGGGCCCAAGGATGGACTGGTAAGTCTAAGGTGCCACCTGGGCCAGAGCCCTACCCACCTCCCCCAGGGCATTTAAAATGGGGCAGATAAGACGGGTGTGGTGGCACATGTCTATAATCCCAGCACTTGAGAGGCTGAGGCAGGAGGACTACCACAATTTGGGGCCAGCCTGGTCTATGTGGTGAGCACCAAAGTAAAACAGGGCACCAGATGCCCAGTGTTCTTGGTTTCCTGACACTGGTCACCTCAATGCCCCCACACACCCCTAACCTGAACACTTGCCCTCCCCCACCTCCAGGGGCCCCTCTGGCCAACACACCATCGCGCTCGGAAGACCCCGAAAAAGGTAGTGTTGTGCCAGGAGGCGCCTCGCAGGGTGTGTACTGCCCGCAGGTGGTTGAAGTACAGCTGCCAGTTAGGGGCCGAGCACACCAGCCTCGCCTTCAGGAATGTGGTCCACTTCCTCTGCAGCGTCCGTGCCCCTCCCATGTCTCCCTGGCAGATGGCAAAGGCACAGGGCCAGTCAGCCCCTGCCAGGAGGGAAGGGCTCCCAAGCCCCATGCTGCGGGACTCGGTACCTTACAGACTCGGGCGACTCGAGCTACCACTTGCTCCGCATAGCAGTCATACTCCACAGCCCGCTCGCTGAAGAAGAAGTAGATCTTGTCGTCATCCCCAGTGAAGCTCCCCACGCTCTCAGGGACGTAGGCAGAGCCTACAAAGTGGGGTTCTGTGGCAGGGCGAGGTGGGTCAGCCACAGGATGCCAGGGATCTCACAGCAAACCCCCTTACCCCCACCTTGGCGCCCCCAGCTCCACACCAGCGCTCACCATTGAGCCAAAAGGCTAGGTACTCAGTCTTTATGGCATGGTGGGGGCCCATGTTCCTCAGGATGACAGGCTCTGTGCCCAGGAAGTTGTTTAGTGTGGCCGAGTACAGCTCTCCATCTGTGGGGGATGGAGGTTCAGCCAGGGCTGAAGCGGGGTGCAGACCCACTCTGGTCAAGAAAGAACTTGCTCAGCCTGCATTGGGGAAGCCACTTACCCACAAGGAGGCCAGTGTGGCCCTTAGCTGGGTCATAGGGACACTTTCCCTTCCCATCCTCAAAGTCTCCTCGTTCCAAAGTGAAAGTGAACATGTCCTAAGGACAGACAGACACCATGAGGAGTGGCCAGGTCGGGGAATGGGGAGGCTAGGGCCCCTGGGGAGGGGGACAGCACTCACGATGTAGGTGCACTTGGGCTGGAAGGCGTAGGTCCCACACACGTACAGGTGTGAGGCATTGTATGGCTGCAGGAAGCGGATAAAGTTAAAGCACTCCGTCTGCAGGGAGAGAGGCATCCAGTCAGGGAGGACACCAGGGCTGGAGACGTGCGCCACCCAGGGCCTCGAATATGACAGGCCAGCTCTGGGCCAGCCATGGGCAGTGCCCCAAGAACCCACCTGGTTGCTCTTTCCCTTCTGGATGCACTCAGTCTTCTTCTCAGCTGGTGCCTCCCAGGAGATCTGAGGACAGAGGGCCCATCAGCGATGTCACGGCTGCAGGGCACACCCAGTACAGACTCCTTCCCCATCCTACATGGAGGGACCTCTTCCCAGAGAGGACAGAAGCCCGAACCACCCCACCAGGGCAGAAGCCAGGAAATGTCAGTCACAACCAGAGAGGGGCGGGCGAGGCCTCTTGCCCACCTGGTATTGCCCACCGCCCCACCTCTCACCACTCCCTGCAGTTCCAGAGCCTCCACGCTGAAGGCGAACAGGGCCTCGCGCGCCCCCACGTACAGCAGCCCAGACTGCTCAGTCAGGGTCAAGGTCAAGAAGTCCTGGATGCCGGTCTGGGAGAACCGCTGCACCACTGTTGCCAGTTCTGCAGGGACAAGGACAGGGAGGAAGTGAACAGGGTGTGGACAGACAGGCCTCCCCAGGGTTCCAGGCAACCCCAGGATCAGCCTTCCTTTGTCCAGTGGTCTCATGAGCTCCATCATCCCAGTTCCCCACTTGAGAGTCTGTGATGCCAGCCAAGGCCCTGCCTGGCAACAATGGGGATTTTCTGAATAGGCTTTGGCCCTAAAAGCCCCACTCAGGCCTCCATGGCCTTCCACTGCCCGGGAGGAGGCCAATCTGGGCTGGTAAGGAGGAAGGAAGGATATCCCAGCCACAGCTTCCGGCCAGAGGAAGCCATCAGACTGATGGTCTCACTCTCAGGGTCAGCGACACCTCTGGCCAGAGACAGGCACTTCCCCACTCCCACTTCCCTCAGGATCCAGGCAGGCATGGCAGTTACCCAGCAGGGGCACAGAAGACTGGCAAGTGCTCCCAGCTTGGGGAAACACTTCAATGAAAATCCAGGCTGCTGGTAACGGACGGACAGCTGGGACAGCTGGCTAGGGGGCAGCACAGGTAGCAAGAGGGGAAGGGGAAGGAGTTGGGAGGCCAGAGATAGTCCTGAAGCTTTGGGGCTTGGCAGCCTCACTGACACAGTCCTGGGATCCCTGCGCCAGCCCCCTACATAGCCACCAGCCTGTCCTCAGGATCCAAACTCAGGAGAGTGGCAGGGCTTTATTAGTATCCATGCACAGCCTGTGGGAGGTGAGCTCACCCAGGTCCCCAGAGTACAGGGATGACACAAACACTTGACATCACCTCTTCACACAGGTGTGTGCAAGGCCAGGTCAGCTCTCTCCCTTCAGTGGGAGGTTGGGCACTTGCACACACCCACCTATCCAGGGCCACTCCCAGAGCAGGAGCCTGGGGGCAATAGGAGGGTCTATTCAAGTAGATAAGGGGACTTCTGGGAACTCAGCTAGAAGGCTAGCAGGCCAGAGGCTTTGGTTTACACCCTTCCTGGCTTGGGCTTCTCTAGGTTTCTAGGCACCAACATGGGAGAATGTGCAGCCTCTCTCCCTCATTCCAGGGTGGCCAGGTCTGGGCTAGGGGGACAAAGAGGTCCCCCAAAGCCATCCTAGGGAGGGAGAGCTAGGTCCTGACCTGAACTACCAGTCCTGGGTCCATGGGACCAGATGCATTTTTGAGAAGTGGCTCCACACATGTCACAATAAGGCCAGTGATGCTTGGGGGCAATTCTTTTGCAGCCAACATCTATTCCCCACAAGCCTCCATCCTTCTGCCCTTCTGCCCTTCCCATCCTCCTTCTCCAGACTTTATACAGACACTCACCCCCAGAAGATACTGTTTTTCGGGGCACAAGGTTCCACCACACCTCAGCCCCAATGCCCAGGCCACACAGCCCTGCTGCCAGCAGCCAGACAGCCCAATATGGGGCCATGGCACACACCCCAGCTCTCAGCTCCAGGCCAGCAGCCCTGGCAAGGGAAAAGAAGTGGTCAGCAAACATCCCAGAAGAGGGCCACACTGAGACGGCAGAGAGAACACCCAACCAGAGCTCTTGCGGAGCCCTCACTTCTTTGGCCCTGCCTTTCTCTCAGGTAGAGGACCCAGCTCCCCACACCTGGCCTCAGCCCCCCAAGACCCTGGAGTCTCCTGCAGATTGGTAGAGAAGCTGAGCCAGCTAGAGGTGTGGAGAGACATCAAGAAGCCCTCTAAAGGGCCGGGATGTAGCTCACTGGTTCGGCCACCAGCCTCAAAAGCGCAAGGACCTGAGTTCGATCCCCGGTACCAAAAAAAAAAAGTCCTCTAAAACATAAAGGCCATCCCCACTCCCTCTTGGCTACAGGAAGTTGTTTGGAAAAATAAGAGGAACACCCTTCTCCCACACTCAGGCCTAAGAGGTACAGAAGTTTCTTAAAATAACCTCAAGAAGCAGGACCTGCAACCACTGGGGCTGCCACAGCCTCAAGACCTAATTCTGCCAGGTCCAGAGCTAGAGCTGCGGGGGCGTGAGGCTGGCAAGGCCTCCAATTGGGGACTCGGTGCAGCAGGTCCTGGCCCAGCCCCAGCGGGTCCCCTTCCCCCCGGTGCAGACAATGGCCCGGCAGAGCCTCAAATCCCGTTCCACATCAGCAGGACTGGGGCGGGAGTTGCCCGGGTGCCTGAGGGGCCCAGTTTCCCGAGGCCCCTTTGTTGCCCTAGAGGGAGGCAGGAAGTGGGTGGGATGGGCGTGGAAATGACCAAGGCCTCATCCTGTCCCCCCACACAGCCTTCTAGGAGACACTCGCCCTCGGGCTGCGGGGCGGCAGGACAGCGGGCAGGCTCAGGTCCCATCCAGGGTATCCCCCCCCCACCTCCTGCGGCGCTAGCAGGCGTGGCTCGGGGAGGGTGGGGAAGGGGTGGGAAGTCGGAGGAGGTCCTCGCGGGCCGGACGCGATCGGCCAGCGCTCCGGCACTCCCCCGGGTCTAGCGAACCTCTCCAACTAGGCGACTGCGCCCTGGGGACCCTGGCCTGGGCAGGCCATCGGAATTGATTTCCACGGCTCCGGCCCCCAACTGAGGCCGGACAAAGACACGGAAATGGGGAACCTGCTCCCTCCAAAACAAAGGGTCCCCGCCAAGTCCCCATCCCGGGTCCCCCGGTTCTCCCCTCCCCCAGCTCGGGATTTGAATGGAAACAAAGCGGCGGCGCCGGGAGCGTGGCGAGCTCGGCCTTCGGACGCCCTCTGCCGGCCCGAAACCCCAGCGCGGGCAGGGCGGGGGACGGGAGCGTTCGCCCCCAGTAGTCCCCCCAGCGCGTCCCCCTTTCGAAGCCATCACCTCAGCTCCGTCTAGACCCAGCGGCGCGCTCTGAGGACTCGCCTGCGCCGCGAGCCCCCTCCCCCAGCTTCCCCAGAGCGGAGTGCTCGGGCAGCCAGGGAGTGGCGGAGTGCGGGATCCAGGCAGCGCGCTCCGCACGCTCGCCCACCCCGAGCCACCGGCTGTAGTCGGCGACTGGACTTAGGCCGTGGGGGACCTGGCTTCACGGGCCAGCACCCCCTCTTCCTCCAGCGAAACGGGGCGGGGGCGGGGGGCGGCAGGGAAATCTGATCCCACAACATCGGCCTTGGTCCAAGCCCGCCCCAAACTTTCTGTCCGGGGGTGGAGGAGCAGGGGGCAGCTCGGGAGCCTGGCGAACATCCCGGCCGCGCACCGGACGGACAGCACTAGACCCGGCGCCCCCAGACCCGCCCGCGTCCCGGGCCCTGGGGCTGCAGGCGCGGCTCGCCCCGCTCCCGAGCGCCCGCGGGAGGGTCTCGCGCGGACCGAGCTCCTGCCCGCTGCCCCCCACGCCCCAGACACGGTCGCCGTGAGCGAGGCAGCCCCGAACCGAGCGCAGGGACAAAGCGGCGGCGGGGCTCCGCGACTCCGGGCCCGCGCGAGCCCGGCCTCACTCACCTCCTGCGCGCAGCTCGGATTCCCGGCGCCGCCCTCGCGCTCGGCTCCGGTCCGGCCCCGCGCGCCCCACCCCCGCGCCGCCCCTCGGTCCCACTCGGCTGCGCGCCCCGGCTCGGGCTCCGAGCTGCTCCACGCCAGCTTTCTCCGCCCCCTCTCCCTTGACGTCAGGCGGGAGGGGGGGTGTCGGGGTCGGAACACGAAGGCCCGCCCAGGAGGGGGCTGCGACCCACGGTGACCCGCCTGTCCGCCGGCCGCTGTGCGCCCGGGGCCTCGGGTGTGTGCCCCTCCCCGTGCCCGACTGCCTCGCGCCCTGGACTCGCGGACTGCGCAACGGCGCCAGGGGGAGGTGGGGCGGGGGAAGGGCTCGGGGCAGCGCCACCTGGGACTCAAACTCACCTGGTCGCTTCAGCGTGTCCCCCGGAGACCTGCGGTGGGCCGGGCTCGGGAATAGGTCTCAGTGGCTCTCCACGCCCCACTTACAGGAACGGGGGTGGGGGGCTCAGGGCAGGAAATCGAGGGTTCTGTTAGGGGGCCCAGTTAGTCTCTTGGACCCCAATTCTGTCTCCTTTCTCGGTCCCAAAGGCCTTACACCGGAACTAGCCTGGCAGGCCAGGGAGACCCCCAGGTCACCGAGAGTCGACTCTTGGTTTCTGGGACTTCACACAGAGCCTGCCCCCAGGAAATGACTCCTCTGGTGCCACTGGCAGGTTGGTTAACAAGTGGCACGAGCCTGCTGCTCAGATGAAAGAGGCTGAAAGCCACGCTGATCGCCACCACTGCCACCTTCCCAACGCCAGCCTCCGCCCACAGCTTCTCCTAGAGTAACTTGGAGCCCTGGTCTGGGCGGTGCTGCCTGGCGAACCCTCCTTCCGGCCAGCTGGTCCTCAGAGCCGAGCAGGTGGACGGAGGACCCTCAGGGAAGTCACCCACAGGCACCTGGAGCCAGATGGCAGCCCCTGGCTGGAGGCAAGGGTCTGGAGGCCCTGAAGCTCCTGGTGACCGGTGACTTTGAGCCGGAGCAGTCCTGGAGAGGCACTTAAGGCCCTGTCAGCAGATCTGGAGTATAAATCAGCCCGACAGCAGCTTTTGTTCTGGGTTAAAACTTGGCATCCGAAAAGTGGGGACCAAAAAAGCAGTGGAGATAATTGAGAAAAGCAGCCCAGTTGGGCTTCATAACAATCGAGTCTTTGCTGTGCACATAAAGGCCCCTTCTCCCTCACCAGCCAAGCCACACTGCCCAGCTCCTTTCCACCAGGAAAATCGCTGTGGCCTTGGAGATGCTGAGAGGGGACAGAGATGATGATGAGCATGGGGTGGGCAGGGCGGCCTCCCTGCTGCCCCTGCCAGGAGGGAGAAGATGCACAACCTCTGTCCTCATCCGATGGGCCCACACCCACTAAAGTTGGGGCACATGGCTGAGTGACTGCCCCCACATTCTTCCTAGATTTTTTTTTAAAAAACTGTCTATGTAGTTCATGCTGGCCTTGAACTCAAAGCATCTTCCTGCCTCACCCTCCCAAGTGCTGGAATTAGAGCCACACGCCACTGTGCCTGGCTATGGGTTAGATTTTGCAACCTGCCTTCACATTCCCTCATTCCACCCTTTACAAAGTTGGTATTGTTTCTCCCATTTATTTTATGAAGAAGATGAAGCAACTGGCTCAAATTCACATAATCAGCAAGGTTGGAAATTTTAAATTAGGTCTTGGGCTGGGTGTGGTGGTGCATGCCTATAATCTCAGCACTGAGGCTGAGGCAGGAGGACTGCCATGATTTCAAGGCCAGCCTGGGCTACACAGTGAGTTCAAGGACAGTCTGAAGTGAACTACATAGTGAGACCCTGTTTAAAAAAACTAAGTAATAGTAATAATAATAGTTGGGCTGGGGATTTAGCTCAGTATTTCCGGCGCCTGCCTTGCAAGCACAAGGTTCCGAGTTTGATCCCTGGTACCTAATAATAATAATAATAATAATAATAATAATAGTAAATTAGGTCTTGAAGCTGGGTATAGAGGTAGACAACTGCAGTCCCAGTTCCAGTTCCTGGGGAGGCTGAGGCAGGAAAACTGCTTTGTCGCTTGTCTGGGCCTATAAGTTTGAGACCAGGCTGGGCAACACAGTGAAAACCCCATCTCAAAAAAACATTTTTTTAAAGGTAAAATAAGTAAGACTCCCAATCTGTCTTTTCCATAAGTGGCCATATATCCCAATAATTATCCACTTCCTGTCTGCCCTCACCCTCAAGCCTCCCCCAGCCTCCAGGGGGAGGGTTATGGGGAGAGAGACCTGAGCTCCCTGCCTAGTTTACCCGCCCTCCAAGGTGGCCCAGTGGAAAGTTTCAAAAGTCGGTTTGGTTTCACTGGCAGGGACAGGCTTTTTCTGTACCACAGTGGCAGGTACTGAGGTCCCCCCAAGCCAAGGGTGTGGGCAGAAAGGGGGGGAGGCGGCTCCCCTCACACCTCCCCTCCCCCCACCGCCTGCGCTTCCTGCTGGGCGATGTTCATTCCCATCACTGGCCCAGCAGTGGGTAGGTGGGCAGAGGATAAGGTTTCCTTGCATGACTGTTTGTTCATGATTCATGCTTTTTAAATAAAAGGACAACTGGCAGAAAAATAAGGATTCCTGGGACTTCCATTAAGAAAAAAATGACTGCCAGGTGGGGTGGCACACATTTGTAATCTCAGCTTGCAGGAGGCTGAGGCAGGAGAATTGCCATGAGTTTGAGGCCAGCCTGGGCTACATAGTGAGACCCTACTAATGGGGGGGGGTCATGGACCCATCTGGCTTCCCTTGGGGCCCATAGGCACATGCTATGGAGGGAATCCACTATCAGGTGTTGAAAGATGCCCTGCTTGCTGCATTTTCTCAAATGCTGGTGGCCAAGTAGAAGAAATGCAAAGATGTGCTAAAGGCCTCCCAGAGGAGCAGGTCCTGAGCCCTCCCATTGTAGGGCATGGGCTCACTTGAGCCACTCACCTGCCACACTTGCCAGTGGCTCTCTGGTAGGAGGGAGGAGAGCCCTATTGTTCACACTGGGGTCTCCAGTGACGGAAACCAGGCCCATCTCCAGAGCTGCTATCTTGCCCAATGCTGGAGACATGGAAAAGCCCAGGTCACCCACCCTTCTGGGAGCTCTCTGCAAGCTGGGGACCCAGGCAGCAGGGATGTAGGAAAAGGACTTCCTCCCTCTACTTCCTTCGAGAGGAGAGTTATTGATGCCATCCTTCTGGGCAGCCTTTCCCTTCCCAGCCCCTGCTGGCCACCAGAAGCCAACAGAAGCAGGAAGACATTGATCAGCACAGGCCCAGATGCTGCCGTTCCAGGAGCTCCCATCAGGATGTCCCCACCTGTCCCCAGGGCTTAGGGGCCCAAGACCTGAACAGCAAAGGGTGAAACTGCCGGTGGCCTCCCCATGGGAATTCTAGGCCTCGAGAGGGCCAGGACCCAAGCTGTCCTGGATTTTAGGTCTGGTAAGTTCCCAGCCAGTCCCAAAGCGCACTGTTACATGACCCAGGGGACAGCGTGCACCCTTGGGTGACCCCACAGTGCACACCTCTGCTCAGGTTACAGCCAGGTCTCCAGCGGCTCTAAACTGTCACCCACACCTCTGCTGTCTTCGGTGTCTGTTTCTCCCTTGGGGAGCAAGAAGCCAGGCTGGGGAGCAGGGCCCTGGGGTCCACACTGCTAGGCAGCTCCATCCCCTTCACCAGCTAAGACCTGGAAACTCCCTGTTCAGCCTTTAGGGCCTCCCTGCTCCCTCTCTGCCCTCTCTGGCAGTAAGAACAAAGCAGGGAAATTTCAAAGGTGATTTCCAGGTTTTCAGAAGAAATGGAATAACTTGAGATGTAACTGTCGTGAGATGTGGTGTTGCAAACAGGGGTGGCCACAGGGAAGGGTGCAGAAGGCAGGGTCCCCAGGTCCCTGTGCCCTCACAGGAGGACCTGCAGCCGACCTGGTGCTGTGGGCCTGTGGTTCCTGGCCAAGGGGGCAAGTGACACAGCCAGGAAAGAAACCAGAACTCGCAGCGGAGCTGCCCAGGCATCCAAGTCACCCTGGCCCTTGACTGGTTTCTTCCACCTCTCATATGGCAAAGGCTGTGAGGCAGAAAAGATGTCCTATGTGGTACCTGGTGCTGGACCCTGCCTGTGCCCGAGCCCTCTCTATAATAGATACCCATGGCTCCTGGCATCCTAGGGACCCAGAAAGGGAGGAAGATACACTTGGGGTGTGCACGCAGAGCCATGGGCCTGAAGGTCCTTTGGTGGGTGTCTCCTACTTAGCCCACCTTCCCCTAACCCCTTGCATAAAAGACAGCAAAGGAAGCTGGGTGTGGTGACACCACCTGTCATCCCAGCACTTGGGAAG